CTAAAGACAAGCAAGAGGCCATGAGTTTAATCCCTAGTACCACTGCATGCTTGTGGAAATCTGGTTGCAGAAAGAGTTTTCAGGACCACAGGCAATATGGGAAAGAGGGCCACTGAGAGTCTGCATACAGGGATCCCAGCTGAATCTGAAGGAGGTTGCCTCCTAGTTTAGTGAATTGCTGAAAATGTGCTGAACTTCAAAGCCAGCTAGGTTAGATCGAATTTTTTAGCCTAGCTGTGAATTTAGACTTTGGTATAAAATGCCCTGAGTTTTATAAACATTACATGAGTTGGAGTTGTTTCTCAGTGATAGAGTACTTGCTTCGAATGCGTGAGACCATGGGTTCGATTTTTGGTACCGATTTGGTACCAGTCCCCTGAGCACAAATGGTAGTGATACTCAAGCACCAAGCCAGGTGTAGCTCTGAAGCACCACTGTCTAGCAGAAACACCTTTATCTCTATCCATCATATGCTCCAAACAGAGCTTACCTATAGGTTGAAAAATACTGCTGTTCCATTGCGTACGCCTTCAAGGTCAGGAATGAGGCCCATTGTAATTACTGATTTTGGCATATCGAATACACAACTTGTGAGGCTCTGCAAGAGGGGTTCAGCAGGGTGATACCATTTCACCGAAACTCTTCAGTGCCACCCTCGAGAACTTCATGTGACGACTGGAATGGGAAGGAATGGGAGTGAAGATAGATGGTCGGCAACTACACCACCTCCGCTTTGCTGATGACATTGTTCTAATAACACCAAACATTAGCCAAACGGCACAAATGCTGGCCGACTTCAGCTGTGAGTATGGAAAGGTGGGACTACAGCTGAATCTTATGAAGACAACGTTTATGAGAAACAGCCTCGTTCCTGCCGCCCCATTTGCTCTCAATGGAACAACCATCTCCGAATGCAACAGTTATGTGTACCTAGGTCGAGAAGTCAACATGATGAATGACCTGGCACCTAAGTTGTGCAGGAGGAAGAGAGCGGCTTGGAACGCCTTCAAGAGCATCGAAGAAATAGCTAAAAGGAAAAAGAACCTCCGGCTCCAGGCACATCTCTTTGATTCCACTGTTCTTCCTGCATTAACACTTGCCTCAGAGACCTGGGCCCTACGCAAACAGGATGAGAATACTATTCAGGTCTCTCAAAGAGGAACTGAAAGAGCTATGCTTGGAGTATCACGTTTCACTCAAATGAGAGAAAGAATTTGGAGTTTCGACCTCCATCCACGGTCAAGAATCAGGGATGCTGTCTCGTTTGCCAAGGTGTCAAAAATCAGATGGGCTGGACACGTAATGAGATTTAGAGATGACCACTGGACTAGAGCCGTTACGGGATGTCAAAAGACTACGTGGCCACCCACCTATCAGATGGTCAGACATCTTCATCAAGATCATGAACGATCGGTTTGAGGCTCTTCATGTTCCTGAAATGAACAGAAGCCATTGGGCTACACTAGCACGCGACAGGGACAAATGAGACGTTACTAGTGCCCGCTCGAGCAAATCGACGATTAACGGGAAGTCATGTGATCCATTACCTCCAACATAAAGTCAATTCACTCTAATTCACAGAGCCATGAGGAACAGGCCCACATTGTAAACATACATTAAATCATAATCATCCACCCCTTTCAGAAGTCTTTGTGACATCGTGTAATAGAGAACCTCTGTGCAGATAGCGCACTAGATTCTATTTTAAGAGTTTAAGAGAGATTTTCTGCAAGGAGGCATTTGCACTTTCATGTAACTCAGGGGTAACCCTACTTCATTCTGTGACATATTAGATATGCCAAACACAGTAAAAAGTCTCACAATGTTACTGGGCTCGCTGGAGCAAATCAATGAACAATGGGAGGACAGTGACAGTGTGAATCAACTTTGTAACTGTGTATCTCATTGTTGAAGTTAAATGCAAATTAAAACAAATGTACAGAAAGAGAATTTAGGTTTCCCCTAAAGAACCCTACTAAGAACCAAAATTTTAAGATCTTCTCCTTACAATCATAAACACACACACACACACACACACACACAGACACAATTTTGAGTTTCTTTGGGACCACACCTAACAGTGCAGGTGTTACTCTTGGCTCAGCACTCAGGGATCATTTCTGGTGGACTCAGGGGACCATATGGAATACTGGGGATCAACCTGAGTTGACCATGTGCAAGGCAAGTGGCCTACCTGCTGTATTATCACTCTAGCCCATGTTTTTAAGTTAAGGATCTTTTGTTAACTTTAGCAAAGAGGAACTACACAACTGAGTCTAGAATGGAAGTATGTAGAGTCTCTTCCCAAAGGATTTGTCTGCACAGGCTGGTCAGTTCTGCAGCTGCACTTTGACATTTCCATCCTGGCAGTTAAGGACTGTGGGAGGAAGTTTGAACCATGGTTGGTATCGCACCATGTAGTCTGCAGGACAGGTTGAAGCAGTTATACACACTCCCCTAACTCCGGTCCTGCTTATTTCTTTCCCTCAGTTCTTAGACTAAAGCAAGAGGCCAGCGGAAGATGGGTAGAGAAGAAAATAGCTTTACTTACACACTTTTGGCTAAACAATCTCACAGTAAGTATCTCAAAACTCTCTAGACAAAGAGGAAAATCTTCCCCACAAGGGCCTACAGATTCCCATAGGGGTGGGGGTTGTCAAACCATGCAGGCAGGGGCAAAGGTCAAGCGGAAACACTCACTGACAGTGGTGGCTCATCCCTACTCAGCCCTGCCAGAGCTGTCAGATAAAAACAGGGCTCATACATTGGGAACTCTGTTTAAGGCAAGCTGAAGGTTTATATTTTTCTTCTTATTTTGCTTTGTTCTGTTGGGCTGGAGCGATAGCACAGCACCTAGGGCGTTTGCCTTGCATGTGGCCGACCTGGGTTCAATTCCTCTGCCCCTCTCGGAGAGCCCGGCAAGCTACTGAGAGTATCTCGCCTGCATGGCAAAGCCTGGCAAGCTCCCCGTGACATATTCAATATGCCAAAAACAGTAACAAGTTTCACAATTTTTTGTGAGACGTTACTGGTGCCCGCTTGAGCAAATCGATGAACAACTGGAGGATAGTGCTACAGTGCTTGGTTTGGGAGGGTGGGAACATCCAGTGGTACTCAAAGCTTACTCCTGGCTCTGTGCACAGGAATTGAGCCTGCCAGGGCTTAGGAAACCACCTGGGGATTGAACCTTTGTTGGCGGCATGCAAAGCAAGTGTCCCAACTGCTCTACTACCACTTCAGCCCCAAAGCTTTATAATTTTTAAAACAGCACTTCTACTTACTCAAAACAGAGATATGAGCCTGAAACAGTAAGAGTATCTGAACTCTCACTCCAGTGGTGTACATAAGAATTTTCTGCTAAATACATAATATGGACACAGAATGTATCATTAGAAGTCTTTCCATGCAATGTAATGCTATGAAATAATGAGAATAAACAAGTGGCTCCTAACCACAGTGGTTTGTATGGATCTCAGAAGCAAGGCTGAGTGAAAAAATGCCAGACCCCAAACAAAATGCACAGTAGAATTTAAGTCAAGTTCAGAAGTAAGTTCTGGTGGCCCATCAGGCCAGGCACACTCTGAGGAGAGCTCATGGCATACTGGGATCGCAAGCTTAGCTTGTGAAAACTGCACAGTCCCACAAAGACCTGTGTTTTTCTGCTGTCATGGCGACTCAGCTGAGCTAGAAAACAGAACAGTGACCAGAGAATGAACAGAATTTGACCCCAGTGTTGTCAAGTCATGATCGGTACTCTGACAGAACTCAGGGCAATGAAGTTTAGGTCAACTTCTAAGATGTCTCAGTTCAGCACTGGAAGAGATGCACAGTTTGAGCTAAAGTTAACTGAGTTCTCAAGAACACTAGCTTTCTGACCATGCAGGAGAGCAGCCCTCTATGGGGTTGAAGCTTCCATCCTTTGGGGGTCGATATATGGGGTCTTGATGTAAAGCTGGCAACTTTTCACAAGAGGCAGTTTTCTTTGTTTCTGTTTTTGGGCCACAGCACGCAGTGCTCAGGGGTTACTCCTGGCTCAGTACTCAGGAATCACTCTTGGTGGGCTTAGGGAACCATGTGGGATGCTGAGGTTGGTCATGTGCAAGGCAAATACCCTACCGGCTGTACTATCGCTCTAGCCCCAAGAGGTAGGTTTTTCTTTCTCAAGCTTTATCTGCCTGACTTTGACAGGCTGTATCACTCTTAAGGAAAACAGAAACAAAGGACAATAAGGTTATTTACAGCAGGAGAAAATAGCTCCGCCAAGCAATGAAAACGACGGTCTTAGAGGGTGGTCCTCAACTCTACACATTGGGAAGGATCAGCTGCACTAGTGAGCCAGCACTAGTGTGTCTCCCTGGTATTAGAAAAATGTCCTCTCAGAGAAGAACTTGTCAGCTGATGGGGGAAGGAGAGATGAGTGGGGAAGGGTGTGCTAACAGTGGTTTTCTCCTCCAAGAATAGTGTGTGCTTGACCCCAAGACCTTCCTAAACGCTGTGTGGTCCCAGTGAACACACTCCTGAAATGAGAGTCTGAGCAGAGTTACCTAGCTGGAGCCCTGTGTCTGTCTGCGTCCCAGCATGGGTGATGGGTCCGTGGACAGGGCTAGTGCAGCTGAGGACAATGCTCAATGTCATAGTCAGTGGGAAAGAAAAAAAAAAAAGCACAAGACTGGTTTCACAGGTGCAGGTAGCTTTACACCACAGCAATGCCAGGATGCTTTAGTAAGGGTGACAAATATGAATCTATATAAGTTGAGAGATTTTTTAAAATTTTAATTTATAAAATACAAGTATTCATTCATTTAAGAATTTCATGAAGTATTTTTTAAAAACTAGGTATTTCTTGAATGGCTTTGGCTGTGCTTTCAGTGGCTACTTGCCATGCATTATTAAACTCGTTCTTCAGAATCCTCCAGTAGACGTCTAGGGTTTAGCTAGAAGTCTTGGCTTGGATACAAACAGTGATGGAAAACACATGAGCAGTAACAAGTTTTAATCTCGCTCCTCAGTACTAACATGGACTAATCTGGAAGCAGCTTCTCCAGTGTCACCAAGGGTGCAGCCACGCCAGGCTCTGCTGAAGTGCCTTTCCTCCAAATGTACCTTCTCAACTCTTCTTAAATACTACAGTGCCTGAGAACACTGACACTATAGATTTAGTAAGTACAAGGTGGGATATTCTACGTTTCAGAGGATCTACTCTTTTCTAACAAGGTATGTGGTTCTTATCTTTGTTTTCCATGTACAATTATTTTTATAGTTAAAACAAAGGAACATTCATTGATTAATAGAAATGCTTCTAAAAATATACAAAGCTTAAAGTTTATCTGCAGAATTTCATAAAAATCAGCACGTAAGTGTTAACCAACCTAAAAGTTATTTTTTAAATTTTCAATGTCATTTTACTGCTAATGGAAAACTGTAAGCTTTACTATGAATTTTAATTGTTTTAACTCTAAAAATAATCTGAATATCTTGTGATAAGATTCTTTTAGGAAAATGATTACCACTTTAGCATTAGTGATAATAAAGTCTGGGGATATCATAAATGCATGAAAGGAAATTAGTAAATATTTCTCTCAAAAGGTAAAAAATGTTCTATTTCCTAATGCATTAAAAAACATGTAGGCTATTCAAATACTATTTTTGATACCTTTAGATATTTTTATTTTTCCTTGATAAAAGTCTTTCTCACTCTTAAGGCATGGAATGACACTGGGCAAATAAAATGAAAAGTCCTAACAGGCTTGATGTAGCTCAGTGAGAAAGCACACCCCTTACATGCTGAGACCTGATTTGATCCCTTGCACTGCAAAGAAAGGAAAAAGGGAAAGAACACAAGAAAACAAAAAGGAACTTGCAAAGTTGCAAGGAGATATCTGTCAACCATAATATATTGAGATTTATTACCAATAGGATGATTCAGACACTTTCACAAAGTCCAGTCAGAATTTAACACAGAGATTTCCTTGGAATTCTTCCAACAGTCATTGTGTTATTAAATTTGTAGATGAAACGAGTGAATAATGTGTTAAAGAATGTACTTACACATTCCATTCCCTTGTAATTTCAGTAGAACACAACGTTATTTGTTGTAAGTCAATTCAGGGGTGTGGCAATCAAAACAGTGGCCACATGGCATAGGATTAGGTCACAAAGAGATCTAAGGGGGTCCCCATCTCTGAGAAAATAGTGTGTATGCCTCTTCGTGTGTGTGTGTGTGTGTGTGTGTGTGGTTAAAGAGGGGAAAAGAAACCACAATTCCACACATATGTAAGCAGACATGCTTCTAGTTTGTCAAAGACGCTCAGCACCAGAAATGGGCAGCAGGGAGGCAGGCAATGTCACCACCACCTCAGAGTTGCAAGGCAGGATCTGAGATGGGACAGAAAGGCAGCAACGTTACAAGCACAAGCTTAAAGCACAGTAGAACAACGAAGAAAGATTTTGTTTGGTTGTTTCATTTTGAAGAGAGCAGCAAGGTTGCTAGGCTAAGTGAAAACTGACCAATGACAAAGCTGTGACCAGGGAAAGTAGTCACCAATTTCTTTAATTGGAGACTACTTAGAAGTCTAAGGTAAATTATTTAAGGAGCGTGTCCTCTTTCATACTATCAGTTTCCATGATCAGCTGTACCCTGCATAAGTTTTCAAAGGCATCCTTGGACTTTCAAGTTTGATGTTTGCTTACAAGGCTGTGCCTTTTACACCTGAAATGTATCAATTTCTTCTGCAAGATACATACTGTTATCACATTTAGAGAAACTGAACACATCTATGGGGACTTGTGAAGGAACGGGATTATTTCAGACATGGGGAAAGGTTGCCAAGTGAACCTTTAAACATGGGATTTAAAAGCACACTGATTTATTTTTTTAACAGTGTTCTAGAGGAAATACCATTTCACTGACACACTTTTTCCATTCTAAATCTGTGAAACATTTAAGTGGATAGAGTCTTCTGTAAATCCAGGAAGACCCTTCTCAGCTACACTGCCAGCCCTGGAACCTGGTTAAACCTCAGAGAAGGACCTGGAAGTCCCTGGGAGATGAAAGTCATCTGGAACAGGTTCTGCAGAGGGTGGGTCCTGCAGGAGCGGGGAAGAGGTCAGCCTTGTGGTCACTGCTGCGAAAAAAAAATATTGTGAGCAAAGCTCAAAGGCATGCATCTCTCTCCTGGCTCTAAAGTACCATGATTTATTGGTATCAGCAGTAGCACTGAAATGATATTCCAAATATTATTCTTATTAAGAGAAACTTGAAACCAAAAGCCAAAGCTTTCCATGAGTAACAAACTGGCAAAACTGGGCCGAGAACAAGACAAATATTTTTTTCTTGCTCCTGAGAACAAGACAAGTATTTGTCACGGTTTTCCAGTAACACAATCTAAATACAGACCTAAATAATCACACAGAGCTTGAACCATATTAGTAAACTCCACATTTTAAAATAGGACAACTTAAAGGCACCTCAATGTCTAGGAGATAAAATTTCCTCTCTATATATTCTTCCTAGTTTTTGTTTGGTTGTTTGTTGTTTGAATATTTGGGGTCACAGCTTACTCCTGGCTCTGTGCTCAGGGATCAAGCCTGGTGGTGCTTGGGGGACCATATGGGATGCCAGGGGTCAGACGCTTGCAAGGCAAGACCATAAATCCTGAACCATCTCTCGTGTCCCTGTATTCTCTCTGCGACAGGGTGATCCATCGTGAACATTCCCATCTTTTTCTCCAGGTGAAAAAAGGGTGAGGTTTGGAGCTAACACTCACAAATACCTTTTTTAAAGATTTCATTATCTCAGCTGAAGGGCGTAAGTGGTGAACTCCATGTGGGATCAAGGTTCTTATAGCCTCTCTTTTCAAGTACTCATTATAAGAAAATGCAAAGGAGAACACTGACTTTATCTGATTAACAGCACATGGGCAGCCAGGAGGCACCTCTGGGGTCAGTGTCGAGCCTTTCAGGTCACTGTAGTTAAGGTCTGCAGCAGAGCTGGCTGCCCTTGAGGAGGGATTGCTCACAGAGACCTTACCCTAGAGTCTTCACATGCTGGCCCAGAATGTTCTAGTGACCTTCAGTCCCAGGAAGGAGTTTCAATTAGCTAACTTTTGCTTCCAAGGTGTCTATACTCTTTCACAAGGAAAAGGCCAGTGCTGCTGGGCCTACCAGCCAGCAACCGGAAGCCGCACAGACCTTGTAAACACAAGAGAAACACACTGTCTAACCTCAGAGGCCACCTCCCCTCACCAAGGGCAGTGAGGGTCTCAAATAACTCCTAAGCATCAGAGAGAAGAGGGAACGAGGGGCAGGGCAGAGGAGCTTCCTCTCTTGGTAGGCAAGTCAGTAGTGCTATGGGAGGGGAAAGGCCCTGAGCCTTCTTTCTCCCTGTGGCTGCCCTTCTGGCCGTCCCCGGGAGCCTTCCCCCCACATCCTGCCCCTCTACCACTGTCACCCACTCATGCCTCACCCTGGCCTCTCCAGGGTCATGAAGAGACACGCAGGAGTCTGATGTTTACAAAAGAAGCAGAAGTGCTCGCCAGGCCCAGGAAAGCTGAGATGAGCCTTGGCTTCCTGCTTGGAATCTCTAACAAATTACTCTTGTTGAACTTTTTTGGTTTTGGGCCACACCCAGCTGTGCTCAGAGCTTACTCCTGGTTCTATACTCAGGGAGCACTCCTGGCAGGACTCTGGAGCCCATATGGGGTGCTGGAGATAGAACCCAGATCAACCATGTATAAAGCAAGTGCTCTGCCCTCTGTACTAGCTCCTCAGACCCCCCGATATTATAAATATATATATATATTCTGTGGTTTTCTAGGTTGATATTTCAGGTATATTAAGTGCTAAAATTAATATACCTAAAAGTATTTTCAGAGAGCCTATGCTTTACATAAAACTTTCAAAGTCACATTATATAAAAACTTCAAGTTTTCACATGAAAATAGAGAAACTCAACAACCAGCCAATTCAAAATCTGCATTCATTAAAACATTCATCTCTCATGCAGTGAAGTACACACAGTAGGGTTCGAGAATCGTTGAGTCCTAACAATTTCTCAGGTTAAGCATTGTTGTTTGAGTTTGGGGAGCGGAGAAGGGGAGTCAATGGGAAACTCACTGTACACAAGCCATCTAATGCTACCAAAGTGGTAAAAAAAGCCAAAAGCATTTGGAGAACCAAAGCAAATATTTTGCTGGCAGCCTGATATTTAAAATATTTAAAACACAACAGTTATTAAAAATATGTTCCAGAGAAAGAGAAAAATATCCTCCGCCCATCACTGAATTATGCTACTTAATAAGTTTGGATATTCTACTTCAGTTTTATTTTCACATGTCTTTAGTCTTCTATAAATGTATTTATTTCTTCTGGTCTCAGACAGTAAATTGAAGGTTACAAAAAAGAGTCATTACTTATGCTGAAGAGTCTCACAGTGTTCTAGGGACCACACATCTGGAGATTTCTTTCTTTCTTTCTTTCTTTCTTTCTTTCTTTCTTTCTTTCTTTCATTCTTTCATTGAATTAACATGAGATAGTTACAAAGCTTTAGTTTAGTTTCAGTCATACAATGATCGAACACCCAACCCTCCACAGTGCACATTTCCCACCACCAATGTCTCCAGTATCCCCCCATCCCACCCCTCCCCTTGCCTCTATGGGGCAATACTTCCCCAATACTCTCTACTTTGGGGCATTATGGTTTGCAATATAGATACCTAGAGGCTATCATGTTTGGTCCTTTATCTACTTTCAGCTGGAATGGAGATTTCTTTGAGCTGTCAAGGCCACAGTATAAACAATTAGCTGTCTGCTTGCACTTCAGTTCTAATTGCAAACTTAGGCATATGTTTTTAGTTCTTTTATTGTTTTGTTTTCTAATTTTGGACTAGCCCCAGTGATCCTCAGGGGTTACTCTGGCTCAGAGCTCAGGAAATACTCCTGGCAATGCACAGGGGCCCATATGGGATGCTGGGGATTGAACCTGGGTCAGCTGTGCTATGTGTAAGACAAACGCCCTACCCACTGTACTATTTCTCTGGCCCTTGTGTTTTAGTTCTTACATTACTGCACCTAACATATTAGTTTTGAAAACAATCCCCTCCCCTTACCTGAGTGTGAATTGGGAGTGATGGTTCTGATTTTTGAGCTGCAAAGTATGAAAGAAGAGGGCAGGGAGAAAATTGTTCTGGAGAGGGCTGAGATTTGCTTCACTACAGCAGATTCAGCATTCTAACACTCTCAAGCAGGCCCAGTAACATCTCCATTGTGAGACTTCTTGTTACTGTGTTTGGCATATTGACTACTCTCTATTTGTTGTTTTTGTTTGTTTGTAGTGCTGGGGATTGAATCCAGGGTCTCATGCATGCAAGACAAGCACAGTGTCAGTGAGCCACATCTGGCCCTCAGCATTTAACACTTTGCAAGGGACAACGTGCACACTTGTTGCAAAGCCCACTGAAAAACTCCTATCACCTTGAACAAAGCCAAATGGTACAGGATTGAAGTTTTCCTGTCAAGGTCAGATAAGCTTACGGAGGAGTAGTTTTCGACAGGAGACAGAGTTGCAATGGAAGGTGATATAAAAAATAAGCTGGTATCAGGGGCAAGCTTTGATTTAGCTAAAGACTGAGAGTTGAGTTAGCTTGGAATGGGAATTTTGGTGGTCAAGACAAAGCTGAGCACAAAGATTTTAAGAAGCCAGGAACCAAACAGATGCCTAAGGTCAAGAGATATAATGGAAAAAAGTTAGGCAGGACGTCAAGAAGCAGAAATAACAAGTTCGAGATGAAATGATCTTGAAAACAAAGCCCAATTTTCCATAACCAGATACTCATGACAGGGGTCCAGGATAACTGGAATAGAGAATCCTAACCTGCCTGTCTCCCCGGCCATCCTGGAGAAGCCACTGGGTCTTGAGTACCCAGCACAATCTCTGCTATACAGATTTAACCGTACAATTGCTACCAATCCCACCCTTCAGATGGACAATGCCCTTTTGCACAATTGTATCCTGACAACAACACGTAAAATAGATGAAGAGGAATGGTGACCGGGGATGCCAGCTAGGCCAGTGAATTCTGGACACAAAGCAGTGACTCCTAGGGATGAGGGAGTGGAAAGGACTGGTGCTCAGACACATGAGTTCCTGTGACCTTGATGAAGTCACTTAAACTCTGCACCTCAAATTTCCCCTAGTTATGAGAGAGATACGCTGCAGACTCCCCAGGGCAGTGTGGATATGGGAGGCGGGGCTGGTTCTGATGTGGGATTCAGAAAAGGGCAACTGCAATGCAACAGGTCTTTGCTATTCTGACATGTATCTCTCTTCATCCGTTCTTTGCTAGCATGTGGCTTATCACCTTCTACAGAGAGACACAGTCATTCAGTTACCCAGTAGGCAAAAGTTCATATTGCCACTGAAATTTCAAAATTTAAGGAATGCTAATTACAACATTAATTGCTAATAGTCAGGTTAATAACTGATGAGAATAGGAATGTTTAGCGTATTCGATATGCCAAACACAGTAACAATTGTCACAATGGAGAGTTACTGGGCCGGCTCGAGCACATCAATGAACAATGGGAGGATAGTGACAGTGACAGCTTTCCTCTGGTGATTGAAAGACATGTATAATTCCTATGTCCAAAGAAAAGCACCTGCACAGATGCCATAAATGGGCATTGAAACAGGAATATAAGTCAAGTTTGTGACAAGTGGATTGAAGGCACTGAGGTGGGCCCAGTTTTTTTTTTTTTCTTTTTGGGTCATACCCAATGATGCTCAGGGGTTACTCCTGGCTCATCTGGCTCATGCACTCAGGAACCACTTCTGCCGGTGCTCAGGGGACCATATGGGACACTGGGAATTGAACCTGTGTTGGCCATGTTGGCTGCATGCAAGGCAAATGCCCTACCCGCTGTGATATTGCTCCAGCCCCAAGGTGGACCCAGTTTTAAATGCATCTGAAGTTCTTCTCATCACAGGTGCTGGAGGGTACTCGAGCATGGCAGGTTCGCTGCACGGTGGGGTTACTAGGGCTAAGGGACATCTGGACAGCCTGTCACAAACAAAACGGTCCCACCAAGGGACAACAGTACAAAGCTAACTGCTTGCCCCAAACAGAAGACTGGAAAAAGTCTCTTTTAAATGACCCAATGCCTTAAATTTTTCAAAATTTCAAAGAAAATATGTTTCATAGGTGACGGTGAAGTAATAGTAATATGCAAAGAAACTTATGTGAGTCCCAGAGGGGTATATCTTGCTCAGAAAGATCTAATGTGAACATTTGATTTTGAGTGGACTTTTAAAGAATGCAATTTAAAATAAATCCCCCCAAAAGAATTCAAGGGAAAGATGAATAACAAAGAATAGTCTGGACATCAGATGCTTTGGATCAGGTATTAGACAATGGAACAAATTAGGAAGAAAAATCCAAATGACACCGTGGAAAAAGTGACCATTCCTGAGAGTGAGGGTTAGGGAGGGTGGTGGGTGAAAAAAAAAAAACCCAAACAGCTAAAGAAAGCTTCCAGATGTGCTATGGGAACACTGTTTTACTATGAAAATGACAAATGGGCTCAGGTCTAACACTCTGATTTTGGGCTTCTTTTTTTGGTTTTGGGCCACACCTGGTGGAATTCAGAGGACTATATGGGGTTCTGAGAATCGAACCCAGGTCTGCTGCATGCAAGGCAAGCACCTGCTGTACAATCAATCCAATTCCTCTGTTTTTGTTATTAAAATACTTACAAATTTTCTAATTATAACAGTACCTATTACTCAAAATAAAACTGGCAGAAAAGACATGGGATTTATCAGTTCCCTCTACTATACAAAGCAGAATGCATTTGGTAGGTTATTGGAGGAAGGAAGGTTTGGGAAAGCTTAATTTTCTGTATAAATTAATGGCGAAATTTCCAGACCAAAAAACCAAAAACTACCCAATATTACCAAAAATAGAAACTTGTACTTAGGGATAGCAGTGAAACCAAAACAATTTGTGCCAATTTTTTGTTTGCAGTTTGGGTGTTAGGTATATTATGGGGTTTTATGAGGTGTTTTGTTTCGTTTTGCTTTTTGGATCATACCCAACAATGCTCAGGGGTTACTCCTAGCTCTGCACTCAGGAATTACTCCTGGCAGTGCTCGGGGGACCATATGGGATGATGGGGATCAAACCAGGTGGGCTCTGTGCGAGGCAAACGCCCTATCCACTGTACTATTGCTCCAGACCCTGTTGTTTTTTTTAATATTTACTTTTTATTTCAAAAAATTATTTCATATCTTTGGGCTGGAGCAATAGTCCAGAGCGTAAGGCATTTGTCTTTCATACAGTCAAGCCAGGTTCAATCCGCAGCATCCCATATGGACCCCTGAAGATCAAATTGGAGATGGCAGAGTGCAAGAAAAGTGCCGAAACCGCTGTACTATCTCTCTGGCCACACTGAAAAGGATAGGGGTTTATTTGGTGGGGGTGTGGGACATAGATGTCTGGGCTCAGGGCTTGCTTCTGGTTCTAGGCTCAGAGATCATTCCTGGTATGGTTGGGAGACCAGATGGGATGCCAAAAATAAAACTCTGGTCAGATGCTAGGCAAGGCAAGTGTCTTACCTGCTGTACTATCTCTTCAGCTCCTGAAAAAAAAATTTTTTAAGACTTCTGATGCATTGACACATACTTCAGTATCCAAACTCTTTTAATAAATTTACTCTTACCATAATAATGGTCAAGGCAGCCCCTTTTTGGTACTCTTGGCAGCTCTAAGAAACTATAGATGGAGAAACTGAGAAATTATCTGCTCAGATATGAACTTAATCCTTAGTATCCCTTTAGTTCTAGACTGGAGTCCTGGATACACGAGACGCCATGAAGGGATGTGTGCTGCTAGCGTTTTTGGCTTTGTGTTCTGCCAAACCCTTCTCTCGCCCTTCTTACAAGACTCTGAAGGACATGATGTTGAAGGATATGGAAGACACAGATGACAGCGACACTGACAACTCTCTCTTTCCGACAAAAGAGCCAATCAACCCTTTCTTCCCATTTGATCTGTTTCCAATGTGTCCATTTGGATGCCAGTGCTACTCGAGAGTCGTGCACTGCTCTGATCTAGGTAAGAACAGAAATCACCTTGCTCTCACTGTCATTAGGACGGATGAAAACAACAGGCAAAAGTGAGTACTCACTAAAGTTTCAAAAGTTTCACTAATGTTAAAGGAGTTCTCTGTTTAATTTTGGAAATTTTAATAAAATCTCCAATACTTTCAAACTTTTTAAATCCAGAACATTCAGCAAAAAATCATAGAAATTTTATCTGTTGAAAATTTGAATCAAAGTGTTTTCATTTTAAGTTCCTTCAGAGAGAATGAATATTACTATGGTTTTCTCTTAGTGAACCAGCAAGTCTACCTACCTTCCTTCCTTAGCAAAATTTGAACTGAGGTCAATCTCCAGTGCATGTACTTCCTTAAAAAACGTTTTTTAAAGACCACCTATTGCCATCCTTTATTTTTAGCTTTCATTTAATTTTTCTAGTTCAGGGGTCACACCCAGCTGTGTTCAGGGCTTTCTCCTAGCACTTTGCTCAGAGATCACACTAGACAATGACCAAGGGACCAGAGTAATCATATGATCATATGTGGTCCCAGGGACTGAACCCAGGTAGGCTGCATGCAAGGCAAATACTTTATCCACTATACCTGCTCATCAGCCCCTAATTTTTAAGTTGGTAATAACACACTTACAGCACTGTTAATAGTTTTGACATACAAAACTACTGCTCACCACTACCAAGCCCAAGACCATGATCACAATCCATGTCACTTCTATTCCAATCCTCCTGCCAACCCCATCCCAATGCTCTTCCTTCAGTGTTAGGTAATTTCAGTTTTTGTAATCCAAGGCTAAGGGTTTTTCTGTTCCTTGTTTTGTTTTTTCTGTAACAAAAACATGAGTGAGACCAGAAGAATTTGTCCTTCTCCCTTTGATTATTACACTCTACATGATCCTTCTCAGTTCCATCCAAGTTACATCAAACTGCAAAATTCTATCTCTTCTGACAGCTACACAGTTTTCCACCGCATATAGGTACAGCTTCTTGTTCTTTACTTTTTTGCTGTTGTTGTTGTTAGGGGGCCACACCTGGCTGTGCTCAGGACTTACTTCCTGGCTTTGCACTCAACGATCATTCCTGACAGGCTCAGGGGGCCATACGGGATGCTGGGAATCGATCCTGGGTTGGCTGTGTACAAGCCAAGGGCCCTACCCACTATGCTATCTCTTAAGGCCCCATATCACAAATTCTTCATTCAGTCATTTGTCCTTGGATATTTGGAATGTTACCATATCCTGGCTATTGTACTTGGCTCTGCAATGGAGATCTGTGCACACAAATCTTCTTAAATTATTGTTTTGTATTTGGGGATCAGAGGTCAAGCAGTGGAATTCTGGGTCAGAGGAAGCTTCTATTCCTACTTTTGGGGCAATATCTCTACACTTTTCCTCAGAGGTTGAACCAGACAAAATTCCCACTGCAGTGAACAAGGGTTCCTTTCACTTTGCATCTCTACGAACACTGACTGCTTCCTGTCCTTTTCATATTTGCCATTCTCACTGCCTTTGTTAAATTTGTTTGTAGGTACTTCGTCCTTTCTTTTCCTTTCTCCCCACTTTGTGTTTCTGTTAAGTCCAAAGGCTATCCAGTCAGTCGTGGTGCTTGTAGGGTCTGGACACTCTTTTATTGTTTTTTTGTTTTTCCTTTTTTTTAAATTGAATCACCATGAGATATAGTTACAAAACTTTCATGATTGAGTTTCAGTCATACAATGGTTGAACACCCATCCCTCCACTAGTGTTCATTTTCTACCACCGATGTCCCCAGTATTCCTCCCGCCACCCCCTTCTTAACTGTGGCGTGCTTGAGAAGGGACGCTGTGGTGCTGCGAGTTGCAATGGCAGTGCTACCCCCAGTGAGCAACAGTAATGCGGCCAGCGGCAAGGGCCCAGCTAGATAGCACATCTGCGGGGCAAGTGCTCTTTCACAGACCCACATCCCCAGGGCACCGAGTACTTCATGTTTTAGGATAAGGCTGTAAATGGCATTGTTAATTTATTTAATTTCTTTTTCTTTTTTGTTTATACGAAATAATGCTGGGTGGAGTGATAGCACAACTGGTAGGGCGTTTGCTTTGCACACGGCTGACCTGGGTTCGAGTCCTCCACCCCTCTCAGAGAGCCCGGCAAGCTACCGAGAGTATCCCGCCCACACGGCAGAGCCTGGCAAGCTCCCTGTGATGTATTCGATATGCCAAACACAAGCAAGTCTCACAATGGAGACGTTACTGGTGCTCGAGCAAATGGATGAACAATGGGAGGACTGTGCTACAGTGCTATGAAATAATGCTATCTAGTAAAAATTCTACAAAAATAAGGTGTGTGGCTCAGAATGATAAATATTTAAGTTATATAGTTTATGACATACTCAATCTGGTACTTTGAAAACAATATTTCTTTTTTTTTTGAATGGTTGGGGCTTAGAATGGTGTAGATAAAAACAGACTAAATCATTTTCTAAAGTCTCTCAAGTATGTAGATTTCTTGGAGTATCTTTTCAAAAAATACTTCAAATGCCAGCATTTTCAAATAGAGAAGGCATACTCAAACACCCTACTCAGAGGTATAAAACATATAAGGGAATAAAAAATGACCAAAAGCAACAGAATCTTAATAACTGCTCTACAGAATGGAGCTTCCTATAGAATGAGGCCTGGGTGAGGAAGGAGGTTGAGGGCAGAGGGCCTTAAAGGGGTCACAGAGCCAGGAGTATACTCCCCCCAAAAGAGGGAAAACGAGCATTCAGAAACCAAATGATTCAAACCTAGAGGAGCTAATAAAGGAAACAGGTGTTAACATTTTTGATAATGTACACAAAAAACAATCTTTCATTTATTTGGTCTTTGGGTCATACCAGGGAGTACCCAGGGCTCACAGAGTGATCCTCTGTGTGGGGATCGCTCCTGGCGGGGCTTAGGGGACATACAGGGTGCCAGGGGCTGGTGCCGGCCCCTAACCTTACTTTTAAATGCATGCATGCTTGTTTGTTTGAGGTTTAACGTGTGGGTCTCCCTCGGGAACCCAGTGGTGTAGTATTCCAACCTGCATGTGTCCCAGCCCTCTCAGCTGTCTCTCCAGGCCCTGATTACAAAACACAACTCTTACATATTGAATTTTCATAAACATGATCAAAACCCAGGGCTCCAATAACACAAGAGCCTGAAACTTCACAAGAATAGTTATTTCTCAGCCCAAAGTGCACGGCAGAAGTGGAGACATGATGCCAGTGTCTCTTCACAAAGGCACACATGAAGTCACCTCCAGGGAAGTCTCCTGCAGAGGCTGCCCCTAGCCAGACAACTTATACAGCAGGTAGGGTACCTGCCTCACACACGGTCAACCTGGCACCCCACATCATCCCCTGAGACCCACTAGGAGTGATTCCTGAGTAGAGCCAGGAGTCAGCCTGGAGCTCAGTTGGGTGTGGCCCTAAAACCAATAATAATAATAATAATAATAATAATAGTAGTAGTAGTAGTAGTAGCAGTAATAATAATGATGAAAATATGGGCTGAAAAGATAGGACAGTGGGCAGGGTACTTGCCTTGTACACAGCTGAAGTACCTCGTATTAGTTTCCTGAGTCCCTCCAGAAGTGATTCTGAAGCACAGAGCAACATTAGGTGTGGTCCCCAAAATGAATTTTTTTTTTAAAAAGAAGAAATTACAGGGGCCAGAGTGATAGTAAGGTAAGGTAAGGTAAGGTGAGGTAAGGCCCTCCCGTTGATCATCGATTTGCTCGAGCGGGCCCAGTAACGTCTCCATTGGAAACTTTGTTGTTACTGTGTTCGGCATATCGAATACTCTCGGTAGCTTGCCAGGCTCTCCGAGAGGGGCGGAGGAATCGAACTAGGGTCGGCCATGTTGGCTGCGTGCAAGGCAGACGCCCTACCCGCTGTGCTATCGCTCATCCTAGGCTGCATGTAGCCAACCTAGGATCAGTCTCTGGCATCACATATGGTCCACTGAGGACTGCCAGGAGAATAATTAGGAGTTATCCTAAGTGAAGAGCCAGAAGTAACCCCTGAACATCATCAGGTGTGGCCCCAAAACAAAAACAAAGAAAAAAATGAATTTTTTGATAAGGTCTTTGGGCCTTTCCACAGAACAGTTTGTTATCCCTTACATATTACATCATGTTACTTATTTGATAACCATGGATTTTAACAAATGTATATCTCTTTTAACAATATAATTTCCAGCATTTAAATGTATATAATCTGTCTATTTCAGGCTTGCCCTCCATTCCAAACAATATTCCATTGGACACTCGAATGATTGACCTTCAAAACAACAAAATTAAGGAAATCAAAGAAAATGATTTTAAAGGACTTACTTCACTTTATGTAAGCATACAGGCTCATATTTTTAAATATTTAAGTGAAACTATTACTGCTAAAACAATGTGTGTGTAAATGTTTTCCATTTTCTGTGTGAAGAATGACAAAATTTGTTATTTGTCAGTGTTCTACTTAATGGAAAATTATAGATTTAATTGGTCATTGGTCTATTGGATTAAGAGCCAGGTGAAAGTAAATTTTAAAAATTGAAGTAGGGGACCAGAGAGCTGAAAGGGTGAGTTCAGCTGTGCTCACAGGGAGCATGGACATGACCCTGGTACTGCTATAGAGTGACCTCCAGCATAGAGCCAGGAGTAACCCCCTACCACCATCAGGTGGGGGAGGTGCGGTACGAGTCACACACTTCAGCTGTGATGTTCCCACATACTTGGTTTGGAGTGGACCGGGTTGCTTCTGGGGTTGCACTTAGCATATGGGGTGCTGCTAGTGATCAAACACTCAGCTCTGCATCTCTGGGGCAGGTGGTATGCTCCTGAGTTATCCCCAGGCCTGCTAAGCATTTTTCTTCTTCTCTGGGAGGTTTCCTGAGCAGTGCTCAAAGAGCCTATGGGGCATACTGGTGCTACTCAACCCTGCTATGTGAGCCGGATGGTGTGATGGTCGGACCCAAAATGCTGGGGATCACCAGCAGCACAGCTGGTGGTAATCATGGTAATGGAAAACACCAGGCCACACAGCTTACATCAAGCAGGACCTGGGCGACTGTGCAGTCTGGGAAACTGAACTCAGGCCCTCTGTGGGCCAGGAATGTGCTCTCAGGCCCAGCTCCCTGAAAAGAACTTTTAATAATGTGCCTTAGTTGTGTACATGATGTATATTTCCAAGCATCAGTTTAATTATGCCATCCTTTATGAATCTACCTTGAAAGAGAAGCAGGTCTTATTTGCATGCTCTATGAATTCTCTATATATCATGTTTTGGCTCTTTTTTGGCATGGTCATTTCCACAAAGGACAGCACAGCATTAGAGAATGGAACATCACCACACACATGCATTCCCAGAGCACTCAGCCCATGATTACAGCCACATTCATCATGAAGAATTACTAACCTCGTTCAAGGAAGACTATGTTTTTCTCATTTTCTGTCCTCACATATAACTACATTGTTTGCTAATGTTGAATTTGGGACTCTGACAGCCACTTTTGGAAATTTCATGGGAAAGCCAACACTGAAAGTACAGTTTAACTCAGACCCCGCTAACCCAAGAGCTGTAGGAGCATCTGAGAACACCATGAAACTCTGACCCCATTCTGTATTCCTTTTCCTTCCTTTGTACATCTCTAACAATTGTATGTCTTAACCAGGGGAAATAAACCTCTGCACGCACTTACTAGACCTGGCCTCAGCTCACATTCATTCTGGGCCCCCTCCCTCTTGGGAAGTGCACAGGCAGGGCAGTGGAAGGAGGGCAGAGGGCACCAGGCTAAACTGACCTGAACTGCGGGGTTACAGTAAGCAAGTCACTTTCTTCACCATCCCCATTTCCTCAAGGAAAATTAAGAGAATGAATCTAGATCTCCTCCTTGAAGAAAAAGATCATCTCATAGAGAGGGACAAAAAATCCTATGGAAGACTGAGACTTCTGCCCTCATTCTTGATAAACAAAAAATTCTTTCTGCAAAATTTAACAGAGAGAGAGAGAGAGAGAGAGAGAGAGAGAGAGAGAGAGAGAGTCAGTGAAGTTGTATTAGTTACAATTTTTTTTTCTCCTTGCACTGAAAAGGCTGCAGATTTTTCTCAGTGTGGGATCTGAAACATCCACATACCTGTAATCAAAGGTCATTGGTCTCCCTAGTAGTCAAGTACCCTAACTGGAGGTATAGAGGGTTTGGAGAACGCAGAGTTGGGCTGCTCTGAGCCTCTCCCTAGCTAGGTTGTATTTCCTCCATATCCACACCTATCTCCCTGATGTACAAAATGCATCAGAAGGCTGAGACCATTTTGGAGGAATTTATTCCTACAGGCCTTTATTCTGGGGACAATGACAAATCTGAGCAAACACGAGGGAAGGGAGGTTTTAAAAGCAGATCAAGTCAGGCATGGGAGGAATAGTGTGGGGCGCTGTGCACCGACCTTGCAGGCAGGTGGTCCTGAGTTACCCTGGTGTCCCACATGCATTAGCACAATCCTGGCTGCTCTGCTGCTTGAGCGCAATAGCTTTGCTCTTTGTGATCCGTGTTTCCCAGGCTATTTCAGGCTACACAACAGCGAGGTGTGTGAGCACCACAGAAAAGGGGTCCCCCCGTAGGCACCACAACTAAAACCAGACATGTGATCTGCATGGCCAGTAGAGGTGACCTATGTGTGAATACCAAAACAAAACTTGTGTGTTTCAACTAAGAATGCCTGTCCCATTGCGCACAGGTGCAAGCACTGCATCTCAATGGCCGAACCCCCTGGTGAGCACAGCCAGTGGAGTCTGCAGGCACCACCGCCGCACCTACACACAACCATGCGTCAGCGCAACAAAAAAAGATCTCATCAACAACCAGGGAAAGGAGAAAGGGAGGGGGTATTTCGGGGAAAATAGGTAAAGTCGGGTAAAAATCAAGTTACTCTGTACTAAACTTCATTGAACAGAAGGTAGAGAATTCAAAAAAAGAGATACCATCAGTTGTTACCATGCTGGGAAACAGGAGGGAGAGTCTTAACCACTTGAACAATTGCCCATTTTCTTGAACACATGTGCCTACATCACCAAAAGCACAAAATAAATCATTAAAGTTTCACACTGTTCCAATTCAGTAGCAAAAAAAAAAAAGTCTTAAGCTTAGCCTGAGTAGAGGAAAATTCTTTGAGTGGTTAATCAAGTACATGATGACATAATTTACATGGACTCTATGGGTGACTAAGCATTGCGGATGTCAATAAATCAAACCCACTTAGTTATGTGTGTGTGTGATTTTTTTTTTATGTTTTATCCAGGCTGTGATTCTGAACAACAACAAGTTAACAAAGATTCACCCAAAGGCCTTTCTAACGACAAAGAAGCTTCGAAGGCTATATTTATCCCACAATCAACTAAGTGAAATACCACTTAATCTTCCCAAATCCTTAGCTGAACTCAGAATTCATGATAATAAAGTTAAGAAAATACACAAAGAGACATTTAAGGGAATGAATGCTTTACACGTTTTAGGTAAGTCTTCACAAATAAGTGAGACACCTAGAAGTTATAAGCAGCACGTGCATAAAGAGTGCTTATTCTTTTTTTCTCATTTATAATTAAGCTTTAATTATAAATCTTAGCATCTTAAATCTTAGACCATGCACTACCTAAAGAAAAAAATACTATTTAAGGAAAGGTTGAATAATATTACAGACAGTCACGGTGGCCCATGCAGTTTTACCTGTTATTAACCCCCTTATATTTGGATGTTATTTTGCTGCCCTTTGAAAGCCAAATCAGTGTGGTTAATTAGCTAAAGCCTATCTAGCATTCAGATTTTCCTTGTTTGATGGAGTCTTCCTTTTACATTCCACCCAGGAAATGTCATATTGAGTTGTCACCTCTCCCCCAGTGTCCTCTATGAGTCTGGCATTTGCCAGACTTGTCATGCTTCTGGTGACCTTGACAGTTTTGGGAGGGTCGGGGAGAACTGGTCAGGTCCTATCCCTAGCTTGAGCATATCTGGTGTATTTCTCGGAACTATGTTGGGTTCTGAGTTATGGGAGGAAGACCGAGAAGGATAAAATGACTTTTTCTATCACTTTCTATCATAGGCAAGTGTAGTCAACCTGACATCACAGCCATGTTAACACCATGTCAACCTCCCCTCATCCAGTTGAGGTTGCTCTGTCAGGTTCCCTCAAGATAGAAGTATGGCCTCACCAGCTTTCTGGCTAAAACTTTTAAGCTGAGCCTGGGAGATAACTCAAAGGGGAGAGCGCACACTCATGGGAGAGGTTTGGGTTTGATCCCTCGAGCTTCAGGGATCAATTTCCTCTACCCTTCCTCCCCCATCCGCTCCCCCCCCCCCGCCCCCGACACACACACACACACACACTTCACTCTGAAACACTTAGCAGGGTTTCTGTTTTCTGAATGGACCCTAATTGGTATAATCTCTAATTCTTATTAAAATGAAAAGTAGAACTTTATATATTAAACTACTCATATTCTGATATTCTTTGAAATTACACCTACTTTTCATTCTGTTTCAAAATTATTGAGGCAACAAATTTTTTGTTGCATACTTTGTTCTTCCTCATGTTTCTTATACCAATCATAGCAGATCAAGCTGTGTCCTATAGTATCTTTCCAAAGTTCCCAGCCAAAATGCTCATTCACTTGATTCATATAAGGGCCTGGAACTTAGTTAATAACTTTAGCCAATTATCTGAAAGCTCTGTTTCTATAATCAAATAATTTCTAACTGATTTATATCATTTTTAAAGTTCAGGTAACAAATATGTACTGGAAATCATGAAGGGTTTTTTGTTTTTTAGTTAATAGAAAGATGTCCTTAGTTCCTTGTGTAATATGCTTATAATGAAATCGTTATCAGACTCAACTTTGGAAAGTGACAGAAAATGATAGATAGTCACTGGCACAAAGCAAAATAACGACCCTGTTCAATATTCCAGCTTACAAAGTACAAAGCTGTCTTTTCTTCCCTACAAAAAAGGGAAGAGGCAGACAAGACAGATAATGCAGGAAAGAGTTTAAGTCACGAGGCTTGCACCCACCAGAATTTTCTTGGAATGTTTGGCTCTGCATAAAAAATTTCCTTCATATTTGACATAGGTATACTAATTTATTCTATTTTCCCCTCCCACAGAAATGAGTGCAAATCCTCTTGATAATAATGGGATCGAACCAGGGGCATTTGAAGGCTTGACAGTGTTCCATATCAGAATAGCAGAAGCAAAACTGACTACAGTTCCTAAAGGTATTTAAGATAAAAAAAAAAAAGGCTTGTTTTAAAAATGTCCTCTTTCAATGGCCATTACTGTGTTTTTGTAAGCTGCATACAAAAGGATTTGTTTTACCAATATACCTGGTCAGTATGGGGTGAGATTCAGTTATTCCCAAAGTGTTTAGTGCTTTCTCTTGTCAGTCTGAAAACGAATCTCACCATCCCTCAGTGAAAACAAACATGAAAAAGTAGTGAAGCTTCTCTTTCCTTCTTTCCATACGTTTTACTCACCTCCACTTGCCATCCTAGGAAATGTCTACTAAAGGTGAAACTTCAACAGGAAAGAAAGCAGAGTAGATGTGCACAGTCCTTCAGAGATCCTTCTGGAGCTGTGCTTTGTCGCGGAGATGCTAAAGCCCCAGCTCTGCAGCGAGGGCTCTATTGCAGCTGCTTGCAGAGGCCTGGGTGGTCATCTGGGCAGACCCTCACTCTGGCAGCTCTGGGCAAGGCACCCTGCGCCCGTCTCTACAGAGGGCTGTTATGAAGATTAATAAGCCTATGCACAGACCAGCTGGAGAACAGCGTGCGACACAGATTAAATGCCCTCTTGAGACATAACCATAACCAAAAAGAGTGCCATGGTATAGCAGGTGACGTGTAGTTGGATTCTCCTAGCAAAAAGCTTCTTAACTGTGCTACTTATGAGCCTCCTGATGCCTTAAATCCCTGGCCCTGATCTGGAGATCAGAAAGACAAATGAGACAGTAGGGCCTCCCTTGGAGCCTTTGCTCAGTCTTTCCTCTTCCTGAAAAAAGAGGTGTCTCTTTGCACTGGTGACTACCTGGGTTAGAAGTAATCCCTGTGGTCAATAACACACTTTACTTCCAACCAGCTCTATCTTTAGGAATCTACCAGTAGAAGCTGGGAACTGAACCATAATCCCCTTTCTCCTGATCATCTGATTCACAAGATGAACAAAACAAGAAAACAACTGATCATTTAAAAGAAGACACAGCAAAGCTGCAATTATCAACCAAGTGGCAATCTTTCACTTCCAAGTGGCAATCTTTCACTTACACGATTTAAAAACCATCTTATTTTGGCTTTCCTGGAGACAGAACCAAAATAGAACTGAAAATATTTTATTTGCTTTCTCATTTTTAGAATAGCAACAATGCAAACTCTGTCTATTAAGTATGTAAAATTCTCTTCCTCCTGGAATCAGTACTCCAAAACAACGAACTGGTAAATGAACATTATTCAGAAAAGAATTCTACTTAATGTAAAAAATAAAAAGAAAATATCACAATATCCTATTCATATAGAATAAGGGATTTGGGCAGTAGTCCCTGACCTCATGCTGGTCTCTGGCTCTGACTACCAGCCCACAAAGATGGGGCAAGACATTACAGCAACACTGTAAGAAAATCATCAGACGTCTCCACCGAGGGGGCTTCTCAAACAGATCCTGAAGCAAATCAACAGAAAGGGAGAGAAAGGATGGAACACATCAAAGAAGAAAGAACCACACAATCCAGTTTTTGGGAAAGAGTTAGATGACCCAGCACTTGGGAAACTTTATTTGAATCCTGACTTGAGCAAATCTATTGTAAAGCAATGTAATTAGGGAAATAAACAGATGACAAAAAATCGTTATTAATATTTTTAGATGTGACACTGAGATGGTAATTATTTTGGAAAAAAGTTATTACAGGCATCCAGTGAAGTCTTTACAATGAAATGGCAATATGCATGAAATGTGACTGTAAATACTCCAGTAAAAAAAAAAACGAATAAAAACAAACCAATAGATATAACAGTAATTTCTAATCAATAAGGTGATGGAAAAAGATAGACAAAAATAAAGCAAATGTTGAAGCTGGGCAAGAGCCTAGTAGCCTCTCACATTTCTTTTAATTTTTGAAATTTTCCATAAGGTGAAACTGCTTTTTTTTCCTTCAAAGCACAAATACCTAAAAAATTCCCAAGTCCATAAGGTCAAAGTTAAGCAATAAATAAGTAATCAGTGGGGTTCAGTCTGACTTACCCTAATATATATTTCTTCTTAACATTAGACCTACCATCGACTTTACTGGAACTTCATTTAGATTATAATAAAATATCAACTGTGGAACTTGAGGATTTTAAACGATACAAAGATCTGCAAAGGTAAATGGCTCCAAATCTTAAGTACTCCACATAACTTAGATACTAACCTGAATTATCTTCTGAGAAACTTCTGGGAGAGTGAAATGCCATGTCACTACTGGCAAGTGTGACTGTAAACCTAGAATGAAATCCCATTCTCTCTCTCGAGGAGATGGGCCAATGGCCCTGAGTGAAATAAGGAAAATATATACTTTAAAATGTTCATTTTGCGGAACACAGGTTCATGAATTTTCTGACAGTGAAAACAAGGCTACATACTGAAACTGGTTAGCAAATGAAACAATAAAGTATGTCCTTTTGGACATACATACTAATAAATATAAATTTCCATATTTAACTAGAGTGTGGTGTTTTCAGCTCACTGAACCACATCATCTGCTTGAGAGGGTACACTTTCTATCATTTTTTTTTTAGACTGGGCCTAGGAAACAACAGAATCACAGAAATTGAAAATGGAAGCTTTGCCAATATACCCCGTGTGAGAGAAATACATCTGGAAAACAATAAGCTGAAAAAAGTCCCTTCGGGTTTACAGGAGTTGAAATACCTCCAGGTAAAACATTCTCCGTGAGTTTTGTAGGTATTAGGACTTTAGTTTTCATTGCTTTTCATAGCGGCCACTGCAGCAGTGCTGTCGAAGGGGTGGACTCTGGGTTTGGAAGGAGGGAAGGGGGGGCGGGGTGACAATTCAATGCTTGTGCTTGTGGTGCTCAGGTCTGATGCTAGCATGTGCTCTACCCCATGAGTCTCCCTGACCCTTTCATGTGTCTTTATAAAACCTTTAGTATCTGAAGCAAAGACCAAGCAAGCAGCAAGGGTCATTCACACATAGCAGACTTTCTAGGACACCAAGATGTGCTGTGCCAGTCTGGGGGAGGGGCCAGAATGGTCTCTACACTGGTGATAGCTGCACAGCTTAAGTCCCCACATCTTCTAGTTCTGCCAATTGTTAAGGCCACTCTGGTATTTTTCACAATTGATGTGGTGCTAATGTATGTTTTTATTAAAATTCAGGCCAGAATATCAATCTAAGGCAAAGAATCAGTATTCAGAGCAAGGATCATGGGCTCACACTGCTTCTTGATCACTGGAAATCGTTTCTTTCTAAAATATACAAGCCACATATACCTTGGACAATCTGAAAATTCAATAGATTCTTGGAAAAACAAATGAAGGCAGTGTTTTATGTCTAATTTCTGGAGAATCACAGATCGGATTCTCACTTTGGGAGCTCAAACTTACTCCCTACTTTAGGGACCAGGGTCCTTAAAGTGGATAAGGCGCTTGCCTTGCATGCAGTGGACCAGGTTTGATCTCTGACACTGCATATGGTGCCCCAAATCCTGCGAGCAATGATCCCTAAAGGCAGAGCCAGGAATAAAGCTCTGAGCATAAATGGGTGGGCCCAAAACCAAACAGAATGCTAAATTACCTATGGGCTTGATGGTACAGTGGGTAGGGCATTTGCCTAGTACATGGCTGACCTGGGTTCAATTTCCAGAACCATATATGGTCCTCTAGAGTCCCTCTAAGAGTGATCCCTGAACACTGAGTCAGGAGTAAGCCCTGAAGCACTGCTGAGTATGCTCCTCTCTCACGCCTCCCCCTCCCTCCCCCCCCCCCCCCCCCGGAAAAAAAAGAGAGGCCTTACTTTGCTGGGTGTGTAGCTAACATGTGTGAGGCTCTGGGATTGGGGGAGGTGGAGGGAGAGGAAGGAAGGAAGGAAGGAAGGAAGGAAGGAAGGAAGGAAGGAAGGAAGGAAGGAAGGAAGGAAGGAAGGAAGGAAGGGAGGGAGGGAGGGGAGTAGGGAGGGAGGAAGGGGAAAAGAGAGAGAAAAGAAAAAAAAAGCTCCAACTTTATTCCATTTCACTTGAATCATTCCCCCACCCCCTTCCGTATTTCTCTGATGTACAACATCTTCAGAAGTAAAAATACACTGAGAACAAAACTGGGCCTTACAAAGCAAAATAATATACATGCACCCCCACCCCTACCCCCACCCAACACACAAAGCAAAAAGCAATCAAAATTAAAACTTGACCTTAAGTCACTTGCTGCTTTCCAAGGTTTTGTTTTAAAAAATAATTGTGTATATGTGGGGCGCGGTTGTGGGGGGGGGGGGGAAGAGTTGGGCCACACCTGGTAGTGTCAGAGTCGGCTGCTCTCAGCAGTGCTCAGGGCTTACTCTGGGCTCTACGTTCAGGGACCCCTCGTGGGGGATCATATGGGATGCAGGGGATCGAACATGGTCGCGCTGCATAGAAGGCCAGAATCTTAATTCCTAGTACAATGTCTACGGCCCTCCAAGTTTGTGTGTGATCGGTTTTCAATTAAAAAAAAAATAAGTTTGGGAGCTGGAGAGATAGCACTGTGGCTAGGGCATTTGCCTTGCACACGGCCGACCTGAGTTCGATTCCCAGCATCCTATATCGTCCCCTGAGCACCGCCAGGAGTAACTCCTGAGTGCAGAGCCAGGAGTAACCCCTGTGCATTGCCAGGTGTGACCCAAAAAGCAAAAAAAGAAAAAAAGTTTTAAAAATTAGGCATTTTGATTTACAAATGTGTCTATAATAGAGTTTTCAGCACAGAATGTTCTAGATCCCATCACCAGTGTCAACTTTCCTTCATCATTGTTCCCACGTTTCCTCCCACCTGAGCCTTAACGAGCATCTTTAAGTTTAATTATTGTAGTCTGGGCCCCATGCTTATAGCCCGATGGCTCTATGGTTTATTTATTGAACTTGCTTTTGTTTTTGGGCTACACCTGCACCATTCAGGGGTTATTCCTGGCTCTGCACTCAGGAACCACTCCTGGTGGTGCTCAGGGGGCCATGTGAGATGCTGGGAATTGAACCCTCTCGGCCACATGCAAGGCAAGCACCCTCCCCGCTGTACTATTGCCCTGGCCCCAATGGCTCTGTGATTTAGATATATGTTGCCCTTCACCCATCCAATATAGAGACCCTTAGGCCCCTGACCTCTGCCCTCATCCCTTCCCATCCACCTCTTTATAGAAAGGAAATGGCCAAGGTCCAAGAGAAACAGGAGATGGTGTGTGTGTGTGTGGGGGGGGGGGGGGTAGTTATTTTTAAACTAGGCCTGTTTACTTCACTTCTCTGAGACAGAAACCATAAAAACAAATGTATCCCAGGCAGGTATTCATTCTCAAGGGAGTAGTGTTTGCTCTGACTTTTTTCATGAGCTGCATGTGCTCTAGCCAGCAAACATTTCTCTTGCCAACAAACACAACCAGAGCCTGCACTTGAGCTGTCATTCATCTTCGCTCACATTACTCCAGAGCCCTGATCCAGACTCCTGGGTGCCCTTACAGCTCCTCAGAGAGTTTGCTAGACTTTAAAACCATAGTGGAATTATAACATAATAGAGATGAAGACAAGTCAAAATTCAGTAGATGCCACAAGGTGAAGACACCATCCATGCAGCCCTGTTTCCTGCTCACCTGAAGTCAGTGCTGGGCAGATTAGCTCAGGCTGATCCTCAGCTGTGGAAAACACAGGGACCACATAAGGCACTGGTCACACAATCACCAAGATTTATAGCGACAGAGGTAGTTCCACATCAAAATGGAATATTTTAGCAATGCCTAGGGTTCTTATGACCAACTGATCAATCAGACTGAGATTGTGGCAACCTCTGAAGGTAAGAGCCAGAACCTGTACCTTGTTGCCAACAAAAACTAGTTTTCTCCAAGAGCTACCAGTTAAATTGCTTTTACTTCCCAGAAATTTCTGCCCCCACACCCCCAAAAAAGGGGGGGGGGACAAAGAAGGAATTTAAAGGGCTTTTAAAATGAACGAGGGTATGTCCAGGTACTGCTCTTAGTAGAAATTTTTTTTTAAAACCTACAGTCTATTAAGCTGTATTTTTCCATTGCTGCAAATAAAGACTCGACTATTGATGCTAAATTACAGATGTATATGTAAGATGTGTGGGATCAGATAAACAGGCGTTGGCATGAGGTCTAGGCCATTCTTCACACACAGGAGAGGCAGTCTGTGACAGGGAAGCCTGATCATTAAATAAGAAGTATATAACATACACCAGTAAGTCCAGATGTTACAAATGAAATCATTTCAAACCAGCATAAAACTAGGACAAGAGAGATAGTATAGCAGATAGGGTGTTTGCCTGGAATGAGGCTGACCCAGGATCGATCCTTGGCACCAGATATAGTGCCCAGAGTAAGCACTGTGTAATACCAGGTGTGGCTCCAAATAAAATAAAACAGGGTAAAACAGGTAAACCATCAACAGGACTTTTCTTTACACTTCCTGTATGCTTTTAACTTATCTTTTTTCCTTTTACAACAGATAATTTTCCTCCATTCTAATTCGATTTCTAAAGTGGGAGTGAACGACTTCTGCCCAACAGCGCCAAAGCTGAAGAAATCTTTATACAGTGCCATAAGTTTATCCAACAACCCAATTAAGTACTGGGAAGTACAACCTGCAACATTCCGTTGTGTTTTGAGCAGAATGAGTGTTCAACTCGGGAACTTCAGAAAGTAATAAGTAGTAATAACCACTTAATATAAAAGTTAAAAATTATTACATTTGACATACTTGAATTATATTAATAATGGTGGTATTATATACTTAAGCAAAAAACTATTCCCACATGATTAAGCCCGCTGACTTACTCTATGACAAAAAAATTCAACAGAATTTTGCAAACATCTCAGTATTTGGGATTAAGAGAAACAAGCATTTATTGCAGTTTTCTTTTACAAACAAATGATTTTGCATAAACCTCATGCTTGAGCATTCTTTCTCAGTAACCAAAAACGAAGACATTCAGCATTTAACTTGATAACTGTTATCAAGTTCTTTTTAAAAAGAGCTGTACTGTAAATGGAATGCCACACATAATAAAATTTTTGTTCTTCCATTTGCTGTTAGAAACCCAAAATTGACGATTACAAGAAGAGAACATTAAACTATTTCTATGCTTTAAATTGTAGCTCATATGGTACTGTAATATTTCTCATAATGATGAAGTATGGTTGGTATCTTATTTACATCTTCATGTCCTTGAGTCTTACTGGCTTTATGTTTGAAACTTCTTATAATAGAGTTAGTCTTCGGTAAATGCTCATTGCCAACTAAGAAAAATATTCAGACAGATGATTTTTTTGCTATATACAGCACATGTTGTTTTTTATGATGATAAAACCCTGTAAGGTATATGGTGTTTATATAAAATTTGTAACTCAGTGTTTCATTATTATTATAAGCTCTTAACAGACTTATCAAATCTACATAAAGTTGTCTCCTCAAATATGCACAGAATGTAAGACCCTGAAAAGCACACCTGATCTAACTGAATAGACAGAGCTTAAAAAAGAAAATCCCACAGAAACTAGAAACTATACATATATAACAGCTAATTACATTTTCTGTACTTTCTATTGGCATCCAACATATGTAAAACTAAAATATGAGGACTATTAAAATACTGGTTTGAAATAAACTATTCGTACTTTGGCCTAATTTTTCTCCTAATTTTTCTCAATTCCACGCACATTATTTTTCCAAAAAATCCTAATTCTTGTATAACAATTTTTTGAGGAGTTTTGGGCCACCCCCTACTATGTAGGGGGTGACTCCTACACTTGGAGGTCACTCCCTATGGTACTCAGGGAACTATATGGTGCCATGGATTAAACCCAGGCCTCCTGCATGCATAATGTGCTCAGTTCATTGAATTATGTCTCTGGCCCCTCCTACAACATTTTTTAGAACAATATTAAGTTTACTTTTTTGTTTTGTTTTTGGAACACACTTGGTTTTGGCTCATCCCTGGCTCTGTGGCTCAGGGATCACTCCTGGTAGATCCTGAGTGACAATATGGGATGCTAGGGATCAAACCGGGTCAGTTGTGTGCAAGGTTAGTGCCCTATCCTCTGTACTATATTCTAGGTCTCTTAATGGTGTTTTTTTTTTTTTTTGCTTTTTTTTTTTTGGTCACACCCAGCAATGCACAGGGGTTACTCCTGGCTCTCCACTCAGTAATCACTCCTGGCAGTGCTTGGGGGACCATATGGGATGCTGGGAATCGAACCCGGGTTGGTCGCGTGCAAGGCAAATGCTCTACCTGCTGTGCTATCATTCCAGCCCCTAATGTTTGTTTTTAATTACAGAACTATAGCACTGTAGCACTGTCCTGTTGTTCATCAATTTGCTTGAGCGGGCCCAATAACCTCTCCATTGTGAGATTTATTGTTACTGTGTTTGACATATCGAATACGTCACGGGTAGCTTGCCAGGCTTTGCCGTGCAGGCGAAATACTCTCAGTAGCTTGCAGAGCTCTCCGAGAGGGTTGGAGGAATCGAACCCAGCTCGACCGCGCCAGCGGCTTGCAAGGCAAATGCCCTACCACTGTGCTATCGCTCCAGCCCACTGCAGAACTGAAATTCTCCAAATTATGCCCATGCTCTGTATTAAGCTACCTCTGTAGCACTGTCCTCCCGTTGTTCATCGATTTTCTCGAGCAGGCACCAGTAACATCTTCATTCTGAGACTTGTTGTTACTGTTTTTGGCATATCAAATACATCATGGGTAGCTTGCCAGGCTTTGCCGTGCAGGTGGAACATTCTTGGTGGCTTGTTGGGCTCTCTGAGAGGGGCAGAGGAATCGAACCCAGGTTGGCCACATGCAAGGCAAATACCCTAACCACTATGCAATCACTCCAGCTTGAAATTTAAAAATTACAAAAAAGAAGATAATGAAAATGACAAGTGCTTCCCTGAAACAATACCAAGAAGCGAAACACTCAAATGTGGAAAGAGAAGTAAATTTATTTGGTTTATTTTGGGTCACACACAGCAATCTATAGGGCTTATTCCTAGCTCTAGGCTGAGGAGATACTCCTGGCAGTGCCTGAGGACCATACTGGATGACAGGGATCGAACCAGGAGTGATTCCTGAGTGCAGATCCTGGAGTCACCCATGCCCATCACAAGCTGGGCCACAAAATGAAACAAACAAATCTACCTCAAAAAGTAGATTTTAAATCACTGTGGAGGGGCAGGAAACAGGAATTACAGATAAATTTGTTCAAGAGGAAAGCTTACACATCAAGGGTAAGAGTGGGTAAATGGTCTTATACTTTCTAAAGAGGTTCCTGCACTTCAACACTAACACTTTGGGTGTGTCATTCTCTAGAGGAGAGTAAAACTCAATTGGTTTATACTGAGTAATATAAGGAAAGTTACTTAATTTATAAATTCTCATGCAAGATTGAATGCCTATAATAAATGGCCATCTTTGTTTTGTAAAATTGGTTACAATCAAAGCTTGATGAAAATAATTGAGGTAATACTTTAAATAATAAGAATAGGGGCCAGAGTGACAGTACAACAGATAGGGCATTTGCCTTGCACGTGGCCAACCTAGGTTTAATCCCCAGCACCCCATGTGGTCCCCTGAGCCCTATCAGGAGTGATCCCTGAATGCAAAGCCAGAAGTAAGTCTCAAGCATCACTGGGTGTGCCCTAAAAGCAAAAAATAAATAAAAGGAGCAAATTTAAAAAAAATCCTTCAGATGATATCAACTGAACTACTAAGTCTTAGAGATGAAAAGGATGAGAGATTTGTGTGGTTATAAAAAGGCAACAAGTGGCATTTCTGTAGGGCTGTAAATGTTCATACATTTCTCTGGATCAGACTCTGAATCCTGGCAGTGATAAGGTACTATAGTTTTGTCTGGTTTGGTTGGCACTCCAAGCAATGCTTGGAGGGTGGGGTCATAGGGGGCCATCCTAGCCATTCTCAGCCAAGCTGACCCACAGTTCACTGCAAGGGCTCAAACATGTGCTGTTGCTCAGGTCTTGCAATGCTGAGCATTCCCTTTTAAACTAAAACCCTTTTGCCTTTTTCCCTTGTGCAAGACTCTCAAGCTCACAGAACAGATCATGTGCTCCCAGATGGCCTAACAGCTCTGTACCCTTTCTCCTCCCTTAACAACAAAAAGTTGTTAATTTAACCACAGGTGTTGAATCTTTATTTGGGGCCACACTCAGCTGTGTTCAGCTTACTTCTGGCCACCGAAGTGCCAATATCCCTCTACCACTGGCAGAGGACCCTTCCTTTCCACTCCCATCCCACCCTTCAAGAAGCAGGGTTTTCTCAGTTCTGTTGTCTGCATCTAAGGGTTGGTTTGACTGTATACCACTGACTTGATCTGATTCATTACATACCTCATGAGATCATCCAGTAGTTTATCACTGTCCTTCTGATTTTGCTTACTATGACACCTTCTAGTCCTTTCCAAGTTACAAGATTTCATATTTTCTTAGGACAGCGGGGTACCTCTAGCGTCCTAGCCCAAGTTTACCATACTTGTGTACCCACTTATCTGTTGTCATGTCTTTTATTTAGGAGAAAACTGGGAGAAATACAGACAAATTGTCTGGATATTGAAATTTTGAAAAATATTTCTTAAGATAAAGTGCTATTCTCTGAGAAAAAGAAAATGGGAGGAATCAACCTCCCTAACTTCAAACTCTACTACAAAGCAGTAATAATTAAAATACCATGGTACTGGAACAAAGGCAGAGCTGCAGACCAATGGAACAGGGTTGCATATACTGACATCTCCCCCCAAACATATGATCATCTAATCTTTGACAAGGGAGCAAGAAATGAGAAGTGGAGCAAGGAAATCCTCTTTAACTAATTGCGCTGGCAAAACTGGATGGCTACATGCAAAAAAATAAGCTCAGATCTCTGCCTAACACCATGTACAAAAGTAAGATCAAAATTGATTAAAGACCTCAACATCAGACCAGAATCCATAAGGTACATTGAAGACAAAGTTGGCAAAACCCTCCATGGCACTGAAGCTAATGGTATCTTCAAAGATGTCACACCACTGGCCAAACAAGTAAAAAAACAGAGATAGACAAATGGTACTATCTTAAACTAAGAAGCTTCTGCACCTCAAAAGAAAAAGTGACCAAAATACAAGGACAGTCTAAAGAATGGGAAAGGATATTCGCCCAATACACATCTGACAAGGGGTTGGTATTATCAAGGATATACAAAGTACTGGTTGAACTCCACAAGAAGAAAACATCCAACCCCATCAAAAAATGGGGTGACAAAATGAACAGAAACTTTCTCAAAGAAGACATCTGAATGGCTAAAAGGCACATGAGAAAATGCTCTACATCATTAATCATCAGGGAGATGCAGATCAAAACAACAATGAGATATCATTTCACACCACAGAGACTGGCCCACATTCAAAAGAACAAAAGCAGTTGGTGCTGGTGTGGATCTGGCGAGAAAGGAACCCTCCTTCACTGCTGGTGGGAATGCCGAGTGGTTCAGCCCTTTTGGAAAACAGTATGGACGATTCTCAAAAAATTAGAAATTGAGCTCCCATTTGACCCAGCAGTACCACTCCTGGGAATATATCCCAAAGAGGCAAAAAAGTATAGTTTTAGTGACATTTGCACTTGTTTGTTCATTGCAGCACTCTTTACGATAGCCAGAATCTGGAAAAAACATGAGTGCTGGAAAACAGATGACTGGTTAAAGAAAGTTTGGTATATCTACACAATGGAGTACTATGTAGCTGTTAGAAAAGATGAAGTCATGAAATTTACATACAAGTGGTACTACATGGAAAGTATCATGCTAAGCGAAATTAGTCAGAAAGAGAGGGACAGACATAGAAAGATTGCATTCATCTGGGAAATATAAAGTAAGAAAAGAGGAGACTAACACCCAAGAATAGCCGAGATAAGTACCAGGAGGTTCACTCCATGACTTGGAGGCCAGCTGCACATGCTAAGGGAAAAGGCAGCACAGAAAGAGAAGGGAGCACCGAATAAAGGTGTTGGGAGGATCCTCCCATGATGGGAGATGCATGCTGAAAGTAGACTATAGACCGAACATGATTGGCAATCAGTGCCTCTTTTGCAAACCACAGCACCCAAAAGGAGAGAGAGAACAAAAGGGAATGCCTTGCAACAGAGGCGGGGGGGATGGGAGGTGGGAGGGATACTGGGATCAGTGGTGGTGGAAAATGGGCACTGGTGGAGGGATGGGTACTCGATCATTGTATAATTGAAACCCAAGCACAAAAATTTGTAAGTCTACAACTGTACCTCGTGGTGTTTCAGTAATAATTTTTTTAAGTGCTATTCTCTCAAAAGCAATCAGAAAGAAGGCAATAATTTTCTTTACATATGAAAATCCAGAAAGTCACTTGAGAAACTAAGACTTAGTCAAATGTATAACTAAAGAATGGCATCCTCATAGGCTGTCATCCAGATACATATCCTTCTCTCCTGGAAGGAAGCATAACATGACGCTCGCCATAACTATGCTGCTGGACCCCGTGCCAAGCTGTTTCACTTGGGGTGCCCCAGAGGCAGGCGGATGAGAGCCCTCCCTACCCCAAGGGACCCAGACCCGGGAGTCGAAAACCTCCAGACCTCAACCACAGCCATGCTCACAGCCGCTCTCCACATGCTCAGGCTGAGCATAACCCACAAGTGAACATATTACTGAACCTAGTGGTTTCATTCGTGGTCGTGTACCACATACCCTACCCATCCTCCAAGAGTACCACACCACAAATGATGGGGTTCAAATTAGGAGGCAACCATTCTTTTTTTAAGTTTTTTAAAAATTTTTATAAGTGAAACACTATGAGGTAGAGTTCTAGACTTACAAATTTTTGTGCTTGGATTTCAATTATACAATGATCAAATACCCATCCCTCCACCAGTGCCCATTTTCCACCACCACGGGTCCCAGTATCCCTCCCCGCCCCACCAATCCCACCCTGCCTCTGTGGCAGGGCATTCCCTTTTGGGTGTTGTGGTTAGGAGGCAACCATTCTTAGAGGGAAATTATTTTTACAGATATATATGTATGTGTGTGTATATGTTTAGAGAGAGAGAGAGAGAGAGAGAGAGAGAGAGAGAGAGAGAGAGGTACAAGCACACAAAGCTCAGCTTCGAACATGTTAGTGATCTCATATAGAGGGGCTTAATGGTCCCTGGATGGAATACAACAATCCTCACCCTCTTTCCTCTAAGGATACTTTTTTGCTAGCACTTTCAGCGGTTTATCATAACAAACAATATAATATATATTATTTTGTTTCTGTTTTGGGGCAGGGATTGGGGTTCAGGAAACACCTGAAATATGGTGGTGGGAAGGTTTAATGGTGGTGGGATTGGTGCTTGAATATTAAATGTAATGAAATATTGTAAACTACCTTATAAAATAAAACAATTATTAAAAAATAATTTTTTAAAAATAATAAAGAATGGCATCCACAAAGAGGCCCTAAAAATCAAAATAATGAAAGAGAAAAAGAGACAAAAACAAAGGCCATATTGAAGAAGAGAAAACCCAAATGGCTGAAAATTATTTGAAGTTAGATAACACCAAGCACTAATGAGGTCTAAAACAACTATGGTTTTACTTGTTCTGCGTGGAATGCAAATTTGTATAACTGCTCTAGAATGAATCTAATTCATATTTTTTAAGTTAAAGAAAATTGTCTTCTCTGAGCAGTGATATTCCTAGATAAAATCCGCAATGAAAGCATAGTCTCCAAAAAAAAGAAAGAAAGAAAGAAAAAAAAGAATGAAAGAAAAGAAAGAAAGAAAGAAAGAAAGAAAGAAAGAAAGAATATCCTCAAGAGACATGATCATTGCTTCTCAACTGTTTGGCTAAGATCAAATATGAACAGACATGATCAAGAATATCCACAGCATTATTTTTCAATTAAAAAACCTTTTTTTTTTTAACTTGGGGGTGGGGATGGGGACTAGAGTCAGATTCAGGGATGCTCAGGGTTTACTCTGGACTGTGTCCAGGGATCATGGCAAGATTCAGGGGGCATTTTGTGGTGCCAAAGATCAAACCAGAGTTGGCCGTGTGAAAGGCAAGTGTCTTAACCCAAAACGCCTATTTCTGGAACTGCTTGTTGGGGGTATTTTTGTAGGGGAAGGCCACATGGGGCAGTGCTCAGGGTTTACTCCTGGCTCTGTGCTCAGGGATCCCTCCTGGCAGGGCTTGGGGGACCATATGGTCTGCCTGGGATCAAACCTGGTTGGTTGCGTGCAAAAAAATAATGCCCTACCCTGCTTGCTTGCTAACTTATTTCTTGGCCAACCAGGCTGGCAGTTCAAAGTGAGGGCCTGAGGATGTGATCTTGGGGCTTTGGAGCTGGAAACCTCCAGGCCATCTAGTAGTGGCTAGGGGGTGCCTCTGGGACTGCCCTTACAGATGCTCCAGGGCACAAGTTGTGCTGAGAATCAATCGGGGCTTGGCTGCAAGCAAGGCATGTGGTTTAGTGCCTGCACTATCTCTCAGGTTCCAGAATTCTTGCCCCGTACTCCTGGGCTCATTCATTTTTACTCCTATACCCTACTTTACCCTTTTCCATTGCACTCTGCACTTGTTATTTATTTCTGCTTTGTCTCCCATGGCATAAACTTGATATTTACTTTGTTTTCCTTTCCATGACTCATGAACTTTGTTCGGGAGAACACCCAAACTGCCCTGACTGAACAAAGGAGGTATTCAATATTAAATGAGTAAATAGATTATATTGGGAGTGGGGGGATGTTCAGCCACACCTGGCAATGCTCAGGGGTTACTCCTGGCTCTACATCCAGGAATTACTCCTTATAAGGCTGGGAAATCATATGGGGTGCCGTAGATCAAACCCAGATCAGCCGTGTGTGCCAGGCAAGTGCCCTATTGGCTGAACAATCTCTCTAGTCACAACTACCTCTCCAGGCCCTGAACAAAATACATTTGTGATTACCTTACTTAGGTAGGTCTCATTTGAGCATTTCCTAGTCAGCATTCTGTCAGTGTTGAGATGCTGTACCTACTGTATCTTTAGATTTTTTCACTATTCAACTGATGAGAGCCCCCAGTTACTACAGTTGTAAAACCACTTAGGCAAATGAAGAACTGGGGCAGTGTACTGTCAAGGCAAATGCCCTACCCACTGTAGTATCACTTGCCTTGCACGTGGGTGACCCAGGTTCAAGCCCTGGCACCCATTTAGTCCCCATAGTCCTGCCAGGCACAGCGTGTAGGGTGTTTGCACGCGGCCTACCGGGGTTTAATTCCTCCGTCCCTCTCGGAGAGCCTGGCAAGCTATTGAGAGTATCCTGCCTCATGGCAGAGCCTGGCAAGCTCCCCATGACGTATTCGATATGCCAAAAACAGTAACAACAAGTCTCACAGTGGAGACGTTACTGGTGCCCGCTCAGTAAATCGGTGAACAATGGGATGACAATGCTACAGTGCAGAGCTACAGTCCTGCCAGGCGTGATCTCTGAGTGCAGAGCAGGTATAAGCCATGAGCACCACTAGGTGTGGCCCCCAAAATGAATGAAAGAAAGGAAGGAAGGAAGGAAGGAAGGAAGGAAGGAAGGAAGGAAGGAAGGAAGGAAGAAAAAACTATCACCAACTAATACGAATACTTTCCCTCTAAGGCCTGACTGTGATCACTGGCTTCCCCCAGTCACAATCCCTGCCAACATAAACCTCCCACTGTCAGCTGCTGTGAATGTCCTAAATACTTTTGATTGTGTTTTCATTTTTTAAATATTTTATTGATCTTGTTTTTAGCCATGTATTGATAAATACTATTTTCATAATTGTTAGAACATGAACATAAAAATCATTCAAATTGAAATCAGAGTCCTATATAAACAAGAAACTATATAAAAATTGTTGCCTCTAAATTAACCTTCGAAAAGAATTTGACTTTAAAAGAACTTAATCTTATATTAATCTTCTAGAAGGATTAATTTCAGAAGCACAGATTAGCTCTCTTCCTCAGTGTGAAAACCTGAGGCTAAAGAACAAAAAGCAATAGGAAACATATGGAAACGATCAGCAGCAAGACGAAATCTTGGCCTATATATGGTCTGCTACGTTGTTCATACCAATGTCTTAAATAATAAACTAGAGTTTCACAAGTCTGCCAAAGTAACACTTAAAGCGCTGGATAAACTTTAAAAACCTGAAGTATGGCAAAATGAATCTTGTGAGTCCTTTGTGAAACCCTAATGAAAAACACTATTTTTGAGGAAAATAGGAAGAATTCCAGGATTCACTTTTCCTCATTAGTATACACAAGAGTCTTCCAAAGAATGTACTCAGAGTTGCCAAGAGATACAAGCTTCTAAAATATGAAAACACTAGCATAAAAATATAGCCATTTAAGCATCTCCTATTTTTGAGGAGAAATAGCTTAATGGAAAGAAGAAATGTTCTACATTTGCAAAAGTAAGGGCAATAGTAACAGAAGTTCCTAACTTTATCTTATTCGATACTATGCCATTTTTTTGTACAACTAGAAACAGGCAAATGAGAGAAACATCTGTAAACGCAGAGCACTACATTCAGAAATCAAGAGCATTTCACTTCCAAAGGTTCCACTTCTTGTGAGTATATTTGGGATAAAGGTGAGAGGGGAAACAGCTGATAAAAAAGGTGAATCACTTGCACGGAAAAGATAAATTAAATGTATTCTTTGTCACCAAGGAAAAACTAAGTCCTTTGAGAAATAAATTAGATGTGAAATGCTGATTCTTAATAAGAAGAAGCGCTGGCGTGAACATAAAATGCCAGACAAAGAAGGTCTCACACTGACCCTGAATTCCACCATAAATCGCCCAGACACTGAGCTCCATGCTACAGAGGACCGTAATTTGAAAAATTCTTTGGCATGAAAATGGAAATAAAAACAGTGATTAGTACATGCTGTTTCATTTAGTTGTGTTTGTCTTTCACATTAGAGGAAATTCTTACCACACCTCAAACCAAAATTAAGGGGGGGAAAAAAAGAAGAAAACCACATTAATCTGACTAAAACACAAGCATCTTAATTTGAATCCACAAAGTTTTGTATAATGAAAAGAAATACATAATTTTAATTCAACCCAAGTGTTTTCCAAGCAGATTATATTTGCTTAAATTGCTACAGTAATTCATGGGACAGCCTGTCTGGACACACAGTCACTGTGGATTTTTAAGAGACTCAGTTAAAGAATTTAGGAATTTCTGATTCATTTACAGAATTTGCAAATTCATCAACTCTTGAAAACTAAAGCAAACTCTACAGGTATGATGATAAAATAATTTTTATTTTTTACAATAAGTATTTCTACTGTTAGATTTTTAAAGTATATTTGAATTTTTTAGTACTAAAATAGATTTCAAGCATCATAAAAGCACATTCAGGTAAGCAATAGCTTAAAGATTTTGATTAGCCAAAATGTTCAGAGGAAAAAAGTAGTAATTGCTTGTAATTGTCTAATGTCTGGTTTACCCATTAAATAATCTTTGTTTACATTTATTTTACTATGAATAAAAATTTCTCAAGTTAACGGCATCAATTTCAGTCTCTGTCTCAATTTTAAATGCCTTGAGCATATAGCTAAACAGTACTGCAGGGAAGACGTATATTTGAACAAATACTACTAGAAATTTTCTTAAAATCTCTATTGAGCTCTGATAATAGATTATTTTTGTTTCCATTGCCCTCTTACTCACAGGAAAAATGTGAGTGTATTATTTAGTACCAGAAGATCTAATTTCTTGGGTTTTAATTAATATTTCAATGTATTTTAGCAAAAGATAATTTGAGACTTCTGACTTTTTAAACAGCAAATTAGTCTTATTTGGTTCTTGGATGAAAAAGTGAAGTGTACTAATTTTGTAGAGTTAAATTTAAAAATTGTTTTGAAAAGTGTTCTGAATTATAGTAATTGGTTTCTCAGACTTTTTTCCATGGATACCAATAAAGCAATTAACTCTTTAAAATAATAAAATGCCATGAGGCTTTCCAACTACTTTAAGCTTGTCAGAATATGTTTTGTCTCATTTTAATTAATAATTTTAATAAAAGTTTTCTTGATGAAAGCAAGAGTTTTTCCCTAAAGAAATGTTATGATATAGAAGCTTTTGTAGATAAAAAAAACTTTCATGTTACTGAATACTTTTTTTAACACAAATAACAAATTTTTCTTTGTTTTAAGCTTCCTTTTTCATATTTGTTGTCTACTAAGCTAAGCAATTTAATAAGAAAGTGAAGAATACAGTATATTGTGATTTTCTAAAATGAGCAAAAACCCCAGCCATGTTTTTTCTATGACCATGTTCATTTTCATGAATCATTAGTGTGAAATAAATGCCTAGAAACATTCTACATTAGCAGTGCTAACAAAGTATAATCTACTATTCGCTGATTCTAATTCAATTATTCACTCCCATGGATTGTATTAGATCCTGTAAAAAATTAGGAGTGGAAACAAGATGATTGATGATGAATTCCACTACTTTGCTGAGTTATTTTATAAGGAACAAGACATAAACTGTAGTTGGAGACAAGCATAAGTAATCTTTTAAATGGCTGTTAGCAAAATGGCTGAGAAGACTGAAAAGAAAATTTGGATTAAAAAAAGAATCATTGGGGTAGAGCAATAGTATAGTGGATACAGTGCTTGCCTTGCATATGGCTAACTTGGGTTCAATCTATTGCATTCCATTTGGTTCCCTGGGCACTGCCAGGAGTAATTCCTGGGTGCAGAGCCTGTAGTAACCCCTGAGCATCTCTAGCTGTGACCACCCCCCTAAAAAATAATAATTAAAAAAAAAGAGAGATAATCATAGGGCTGGAGCGATAGTACACCAGTACACTTGCCTTGCACAAAACTGACCCACATTTGATCCCTGAGCATCTCCAGGTAGTGCCCCAAAACTAAAAATAAACCAAAAATTTACAAAAATAAATAAATAATTTGAAAAGGTCATTTTAGGGATCAGAGTGACAGTACAGCTGGTAGAGCACTTGCTTTGCATGAGGCAGATCTGGTTTGATCCCCAGCATCCCATATAGTTCCCCAAACCTGCCAGGAGTGCTCCCTGAGTGCAGAGCCAGGAATAAGCCCTGAGTGCCCCTGATGTGGCAAAAAATAAACAAACAAACAAAAAAGCCAAAAAATAATTTCACCAGGCAAAGATCAGTTTGATCCCCAGCATCCCACATGGTCCCCCAAGCACTGCCGGGAGTGGTTCCTGAGTGCAAGAGCCAGGAGTAAGCCCTGAGCAGAAGTAAAACAAAATTATTACCCAAGTCTCCAGGCCCCTCCCCCAACAAACACTTGTGTTTTGTCACTAACTTGTCTGCTTTTAATAGAGGGGATGTCTCTTCATGGGTCCTTAATTTCTACACCCTCTAAGCACAGGGCCTCACCTCTAAGATAAGCATGAACTGAAGTAACTGTCATATTAACTATTTACCAAAGCTTGGGTTTGGGATTTTTTTGTTTGTTTGGGGGCCACACCTGGCAACGCCCAGGGTTAATTCTGGCTCTGCATTCAGGGATTACTCCTGGCAGGGCTCAGAGGACTATACAGGGTGCTCGGGATCAAATCTGGTTGGCTGCATACAAGAGCCATACCATTGTACTATTGCTCCAGTCCCTACTAATGTTTGGAAAGTTAACTGAATAATCATGTGGACACAATATATAGTCCAAGCTGAGATCTAGCAGGTGAAAGAACATCCTGTCAGGCCCACTAAGCACTGAGCAGCTTGGCTATCTCCAGAGTCCCTCTCTCAAGACTCCCTTGCTTCACACACCAACACGCAATGTGAAGAGCACTATTTCAATGTATTAATTTATTAAATGTAGTCAAAATTCAGGCCATGCAAGTTCTAGTCCAGATTGGCTTTAATCATCTTACTTTGCTCCAAACAATCACTGTCTCCGAAACACTCATCCTTTGATTGCTTATAAGTTTTAGCTTATCTCTCCAATCTGGAAACCTAATCTGTCTACCTCCTTGAGAACCCTACACAGGCCAGTCACAATGCACAGGCCATGAATCTCAAAAATAGAAGAGACACTGCATACAGTCTGTTTAGGAAATCTAAATTTTCAACACACAGATTATTTAAGGGCATGTGTGTGTGTGTGTGTGTGTGTGTGCGCGCGCGCGCGTGCGTGCTTGTGTGTTCCCCTGGAGGTAGGGATAAGATAAATATAAGAAAATATATGAGTAAATTATTTATTATTCTTTTCACAAATAAACAAAAATACGGAGGTCGGAGAGATAGTACAGCAAGTAGGGCGCTTGTCTTGCATGCAGCAGACCCATGTTTGATCCCTGGCATCCCATATGGACCTCTGAGCAGTGCCAGGAGTGATTCCTGAGTGCAGAATCAGAGTAACTCCTAAACAGGTGTAGATCAAAATCAAAAACAAACCATAAAAGGGAAGTAAGGTGATCATTCAAAATCAAAAGAGAATAAAGAGGCTTCTCTGGGAGGAAGGGAAAGAAATAGTCTAAGGGAGTGTTTTTCAGCCTTTCTCCAGTTGTGGACTGACCTTGTATCCTTCCCGTGGTCCCCCCGTCCTACCAGTTGGCCCCCTAATCTCACATCCTAGTCACCCAGGGGGTCATATGGCCCCAGCAGAGAAACACTGATCCAACTGGTTGTTCATCTCAGGAGCACTTGAGTGGTCACAAATACAGGAAAAAAAAAAAAAAACAACTGGCATGTTCCACTTCTCTCGTCCCATTTGGCTGCATGATTCTAGCTGATAAATTGTAGGTGGAGAATTAGAGTAACAAGGGTTTCTGTCACCAGAAGAGCATGAGGAAAAAGGAAAACACGGAGTTTAGGACATGAGCAAAGTCATGCCAACAGCGAGAAATGAGATGGTCTAGATTGGTAAGAAGGAACTAGGTGTTCAGGGAGGTGTGGATGAGGCGTAATGAGAAAACAGGAGAATTGCTGTTTTAGATCACATTAAACTGCATCCTTTCGTTGCTGTTGTTGTTGAGTCAAATTACTAAAGAATAACTGTAGAATCAGTTACAAAGGTAGGAGGCATTGACAGAGTGTGATAGTCAGGGCCGCAGCTCTGGTGACAAGGCCCACAATGTGAGTGTGGAAATGGAGCACGAGGAAGACTGGAGCAAATATGAGTGAAAGGAAAAGGCTGAGGGTCTCTGGCTCTACTTGAATGGCCACAGCAAATCCCCAGTACACACAACACTAGCACTGAAATGTTTCTAGTTTTTGAAGAGCAAAGCAAGAGGAGGAGCTGGATTGCTGGCTCTCAGGGTCAAGGGCAGGCTTTGCAGGCAGAGGGCCCAGGTTCAATCCCTGAGTACCTTATCATGCCTGGAGCACCATATGAGCAACCCCTGAGCACAGACTGGGGAGGAGCACTGTAGAGTGTATCTCAAAAGAAAAGAAATGAGCTGAGGGTTTGCGCAGTGTTTCAAATGGGGTTCTGTCAAAGAATGTGATTCAACTATCTATTTCCTGAATGATCCCAGCAATAAAGAATAGCTAATGCCACTCTGAACAAGAATTTCATTATATACAAATCACACATTAGGATAATAGTTCTCTCATGACACCTGGATTAAATAGGGAAGGGGCAGAAAGGCCTCAGATGAGAGATGCAAGTATTATTTCAACCTTTCCTAAATAACACACTAACTTTGTATGATTCACTTTTCTATTTTCGAGTATCTTCCCATGCATGTCTCAAACGACTCTAATAAATGCCTGGTGAGTAGGCAACTCATCATAATGCTCACTGTAGAGACAACATGTTTAGTGAATGGCCCACCATAAGCGACAGCACTGAAACTACAGGCTCCTCCAAGACACAACCCATCATTCACTCCCACTTCAAGGTTTTCACATGGGAATCCACTCTCCCCTCAAACTGAGGCTCCCTCCTACATACCACCATGATGTCTCCATGCCTCTGATCCTTACTGTGTACCCATTACATTCCTTCCCACTTTCTACACATTTCCCGATCTCTGATCTCCATGTCCTTTCACATCCACACGTGTTCACTGCACTTCCTGATTGTCTCTCTGAGCCTCTACCAAAAGAGACAAGTGAGACAAAGACAATATGCTTTAAATATCTGTATACCTATGCACTATAGCACTGTCCTACCATTGGTCATCGACTTGCTCGTGTGGGCACAAGTAACATCTCCATGGTGAGACTTGTTACTGTTTTTGGCATATCGAATATGTCACGGGGAGCTTGCCAGGCTCTTCCATGCGGGAGCTTGTCAAGAAGGATGGAGGAATCGAAGCTGGGTCGGCCGTGTGCAAGGCAAATGCCCTACCTGCTGTGCTATCACTCCAGCCCATACCTATGATTTAACCAAAAATATCAGTGTAAAGAAGGGTGCTAGGAAGGTGATGAAAACCGTGTGGGATAGCCTACTGGATACAAACTGAAAGGGGTACAAGCCTCAGTGGCCCAAGGCTCATGTGTGAGCAAGGCAAACTGGGATGGGAACTCAGGTCAGCACCGCTACTAAAAATGTGCCCAGACATGAGCAATGCTGCTATTCTCCACAGCAATTAAAAAAAAAATGTGTGTGTGTGTGTGTGGGGAAGAGGGAGTGGTGAGAGATTAAAAATAAAATTTTAATTAAGGGGTTGGAGTGATAGCACAATGGGTAGGGTGTCTGCCGACCCGGGCTCGATTCCCAGCATCCCATATGGTCCCCCAAGCACTGCCAGGAGTAATTCCTGAGTGCAGAGCTAGGAGTAACCCCTGAGCATCGCTGGGTGTGACCCAAAAAGCCAAAAAAATATTAATTAAAAAAAGATGCAGAGAAGAAACTGAAATTGTGTGTACAATGTAAGTATCATGGGTATTTGGTGTTTGAAGTAGTGAGTAGAGTCAAGAGATTAAATCATAGTGAAAATGCTTCATGAAAAGAAAAATTTGAAAGCACAGTAAACCGCAGGGAAAAATATCAAGAGAAAGAAAGGTCAGTTACTTCATACTGACTCATAGGTCAAATTTTTTATACATCAAGGGAATGGTTCACGCGGCAGACAAAAGCATCAGCAAATGGAAGCTGCAATAAGAAGTTTTGTGGTCCTTTAAGAATGTCCTAGTTTGTTAAAGCTCTAACTCCAACACTGGCCTCACAGCAGTGGTGACCATGAGTGAAGGGACAATCAGCGAGTGAGGATATCCAACATTTGTCATCAAGGTAGCAGCTGGCTTGGCGGGTTGAGAGATACCAGGCTATCATTATAAATATATAGTCCAGTAGTCAAGACAATCAAGTTGCACCTATTTTGGGGGGCAGAGAGATAGTACAGTGGGTAGGCATGTGCCTTGTTCAATCCCCGGTATCCCGTATAGTACCCTGAGTCCACCAGGAGTAATCCCTGAGCTCAGAGCCAGGAATAAGCCCTGAGCATGGCCAAGTGTGGCCCAAAAGAAACCAAACCAACTAAGCAAACAAAACCAAGATGGTCCACTTAGTCTAGCCAGAGGTTCCCAACTTATTTCACTTAATTCTCGCTTTTCAGGAAAAAAAATTATTCAGTGCTCCGTGGAAATCTAGCCTCTTTAAATGAATAGAAAGCACACCTGACTGCATCCTGAACTACTGCAGCACTCCTCCTGGCATGGGGAAGAACATGGGTCTAAATTCAATACAAGATGTGACTTCAAAACAAAACGAAACACTCAATGGTACTTAAAAATCAATTTTGATTCATGCACTGCCCAATTATCTTGAATACACCTTCATATAGTTCAATATAGATATGCATATTAAGCAAGAATTATTCTAGAATTATTCAAAGTTTCACTCACCTTTCCTAATATTACCTTTTCTTCTTACCACAGAACAACAACAAAAAAGAACATGGGTGTTTTAAGTCCAATATGTGCTCTTTTCTTCTTTCTTGGAGTCAAAGTATATGGCCAATATGAAAGTTATCAATGGGATGAAGATTATGATCAAGAGTCAGATGATGTCTACCAGCCTGAATTCCATTTTCATCAAAATATAGATTATGGCGCTCCTTTTCCTCAAACTCTAGGCTGCGCCAGTGAATGCTTCTGTCCGCTGAACTTCCCACTGTCAATGTACTGTGATAACCGCAAACTCCAGACCATCCCAAAGATCCCTGCACACATGCGGCAAGTCTACCTGCAGTTCAATGAGATAGAGGCAGTGCCTTTAGACTCCTTCGCCAACGCTACTCATCTTCAAGAAATCGACCTCAGCCACAACAAAATTCAGTCTCACAAGATCGATGCTGGTGTGTTTGCCAAGCTAGCAAATCTACTCCAACTTCACCTCCAGCATAACCATCTAGAAGAACTTCCCTCTCCGCTTCCTAGGTCTCTGGAAAGACTCCTTCTGGGTTACAACCAGATCTCCAGACTGCAGGCAAACATCCTGGAAACGCTCCCAAACCTGACCATGCTTGACCTCTGCCATAATCAGCTAGATGACTCTACTTTAGGGGAAAGAGTTCTTGCCAAGATGGAAAAGCTGATGCAACTCAACCTATGTTATAACAAATTAGCATCAATGCCACCTGGTTTGCCACCTTCACTTATGTATCTGTCCTTAGAAAATAACTCCATTTCTTCTATACCAGAGAATTACTTCAATAAACTTCCAAAACTTCATGCCATAAGAATGTCACACAACAAACTGCAAGACATCCCATATAACAGTTTTAATCTTTCCAATCTGGTAGAGCTCAATGTTGGACACAACAAACTGAAGCAAGCATTCTATATCCCACGGAATCTAGAACACCTCTACCTAGAGAATAATGAAATCGAAAGTATGTTAAAGTTTATTATTTTTTAAAACAGAGAGAATAATATTCACCTTTAAAAGAACAAATCTCTTTTTAAAAGTCCATGCTTTACATATTACTGAAAATGGTTGCTTTGAAGGAAGTGGCAAAAATTGACCTCAGAGAATAGCATAAACTTTTTATTAAAATGATGTAAAATTTATAGACCTTTGCTTTGGATTTTGTAACCCTTAACATTAGGACATGGTACTGGAGGGGCCAGTGAGACAGTACAATAGGAAAGACCAGGGCTTGATCTCGGACACCCCACATGGTCTCCAAGCAATGCCAGGAGTGATCCCTGGGCATAATGCCAGGAGTAAGCCCTGAGCACTACTGGGTGTGACCCCCCTCCAAAAAGAAAAGAAAAGAAAAGAAATAGTACTATAAACAAACATGAATATTCTGCATGGTAGGACTTTATTACTTTTTATTTCCATTACTATTTTGTTTGTAATTATTAATGTGTATTCACTTGATGAATTTTTTTATTTTGAGATTGCTTACTAAGAGTTGATTACTCAAATTACTTATTAGTCAAAGCTCATTTACTTTGAAATATAAAATACATTTATAAAATGAATTATATAAAACTATGAAATTTATAGTTTTATTTTCCATTTTAGTATTTAATGTATAAAATAAATAGATCTAATTCCACACATACCCATTTTAAATAATAAAATCACATCCCATATAACATTTTAATAAGAATCAGTACAGGATTATGGGTATAATGCAGAATTTTTGATTCATATTTTTCAGGTATCAATGTTACACTGATGTGTCCATCAGCTGACCCACTAAATAACCACCATCTGACATACATTCGTGTGGACCAAAACAAGCTAAGAGAGCCAATAGGCTCGTACATTTTCCTCTGCTTCCCTTATATCCATACCATCTATTACGGTGAACAAAGAAGTAGTAATGGTGAAACAATACAACTGAAGACTCAAGTTTTCAGATTCCATGATGATGCTGATAGTGAAGAGAATACTGGTCATAATGAAGGTCCAGGAGAACAAGTACCAGAAGAAAACATTGACCCTCACTATTATGGAAGTCAGGAATGGCAAGAAACTATATAGGTATACATTTATAAGTTCTCAAAGTCTTATTACTAATTTAACTAGGCATGCATAGTTCTCAGTAATATATCTAGAATTATAGTTTAAATTTATTAGTGTTATATTTGTGACATTATGTAGGATTAGATTTTACTCAAAATGAAACATGTCTGTAGAATTGTAAATTAGAATTAGGATTTCTAATGGCAATCAAAAGCTAACTTTAAAAATAATATTCCTGGGGCTAGAGAGATAGTACAGCAGGTAAGGCATTTTGCCTTGCATAAATCTGATTTGGGTTTGATCCTCGGCATCCCATATGGGTCCCCCAAGTACCACAAGGAATGATCCCTGCGTGTAGAGCCAGGAGCAAAACCTGAAAACTGCCAAGTGTAGCACAAAAACAAAACAAAATAAAATTATCATGTTAATAAAAGTATGCCACTTCTAATAAAGTAATTTTTCTAATAATGGTGAAAAAGCGTGACAAGCTAGGAGGAAGAAGCAATGTGCTTTAAGTCACAATGAGGACAATGTTTGAGTAACAGCTGATCTTGAAGTGATGAGCAGTCATCTGTATCAAGAATAGATTGGTTTCTTGAACCTAATCTCCAGAAAACTTATCACTATCACCCCATTGTTCATCGATTTGCTCAAACAGGCGCCAGTAATGTCTCCATTCATCCCGGTCATGTGCTAGTGTAGCCCAATGGCATATTGGGGGCTCTTTCAGGGTCAGGACAATGAGGACCATCATGGTTTTGGCAGATCGAGTATACCACGGGTAGCTTGCCAGGCTCTGCCATACGGGCAGGATACTCTCGGTAGCTTGCTGGGCTCTCCGAGAGGGATGGAGGCTTTTGGGGCAGCCTCTAATCACCTTTACAGGTGTTCCCAGTTAGGTTTATATGCAGGCAGGATACTCTCGGTAGACTGCTGGGTTCTCTGAGAGTTAGAACTAGACAATTCGTGGTTGTGCGCTTCCGGGAGCTTGGTTTTATAGTCTCTGAATCTTGGCTCTTGATGGGGTTACACGTGAGTTGGTGGGTGTAACTGTCTAGCTACTGGAAGATGGGGGATCTGGGTGGAGGAGGCCTAGTCCCAAACCAAGCAGGCTTGGAGATCTCAACCCCGGGTTCAGAAAACTTATACACTCTTTTTTTTTTGAGTAGGGGGCAGGGGTGTTAGGGGAAGACAACCATAGGTGCTCAGGGGTTATTCCTGGCTCTGCACTCAGAGATCACTCCTGGCTGTGCTCAGGGAACCATTAGATGCCAGGAATTAAACCCTAGTGGATCACATGCAAGACAAACACCTTACCTGCCGTGCTATGGCTCTGACCCAGAAAGTTACACACTTGTGCTTATGATCTCATAACTACAACATACACTCCCTGGTCCTACCAGCAGAGGTTCCCTAACTTATTCGGTCTACTCCCACTTTACAAAAAAAAAAAAATTACTCAGTGACCCTTGTCAATCGACCTTCTTTAAATAAATACAAAGTATACTCACTCTACAGGATCTTTCCAGAGATTGATGTGGGGAGGAGGGGAAGGGACTGGGGGAAAAGGGATGTAGGAGTCTCATCCACCTTGGTAAAGACGACTTAGAGCATAAGATGGTATTTTTAATTTTCAAAACAATTCAGACATGCAGATGCATTAAATAGGCTAATTTTTTCCCGGCTTTTTTGGGTCACACCAGCAATGGTCAGGGGGTTTCTCTTGGTTTTGCACTCAGGAACTGCTCCTGGCAGTACTCAGGAGATCATATGGGATGCCGGGAATTGAACCTGGGTCTATTGCTTGCAAGGCAAACACCCTCCTCATTGTACTATCACTCTGGCCCCTTGATTAATTTTTCTCTCAGAAGATCAAAGCAACAAAATTAATGGCTGTTTTTGGTAACTGAAAAATAACAAATTATCTCACCACATTCATATTTAGCAATTTGTGCAAAACAATTCTTTCTACTTCATTTTAACTGAATAAATGTTAAACTAGCAAAGTTTTTGTTTTAGTTACAGAAAGATTTGCTCATAAATGACTGTTTTGCTCACAAGGAAAAGCTAATGCTAGCACAAGTGTATTAATAATAACTTCTATTTCTCTAGCAAAACATAATAGAAAATACATGCTAACATTCAATATTTGCTCACATGGTGCTAAAGCTAGAGTGTCTTTAAATTCTGAGCAAGTCTTTATTATCTTCTTTAAAACCTTAGTATGTGTTATTTAACCTATCATTTAAAATCGATAGCACAGTGGGTAGGGCGTTTGCCTTGCAAGCAGCCAACATGACCGACCCGAGTTCAATTCCTCTGCCCCTCTCGGAGAGCCCAGCAAGCTACCAAGAGCATCTTGCCCGCACGACAAAGCCTGGTAAGCTACCCGTGATGTATTCGATATGCCAAACACAGTAACAATTGTCACAATGGAGACATTACTGGGCCTGCTCGAGCAAATCGATGAACAACAGGGAGGACATGACAGTGACAGTGACAGTGACAGTGACTAAGTATGCCTTAGAGTTAAAATGATTTAACTGTTGTGATGGGCTTTCTTGCTCTACCAGGCTAATATTTCATAGATTCCTAAATAAGGGATAAATACAAATCTGGGGCTGCCTTATAGGTAACCAAGGAAACAACAAAAATTTGAACGATATACAAATATCAGAGAAAAAAAATTTTATTTTGCAAGCAGTTTCAAGTGCTGAGTCTTCATTTTTCTGGAGGTAGCACTGCACTGCCCTCCCGTTTTCATCGATTTGCTCGAGTGGGCACCAGTAACGTCTCACAACAAATTGTGAGACCTGCTGTTACTGTTTTTGGCATATCGAATACATCACGGGTATCTTGCCAGGTTTAGCCGTGCAGGCGAGATACTCTTGGTAGCTTGCCAGGCTCTTCGAGATGGGCAGAGGAATCGAACTCAGATTGGCGGCGTGCAAGGCGAACATCTTACCACTGTGCTATAGCCTCTAATGTTCTTCATGTCTTTAAGTAGGTGATTAGCAGATACACACCTGTCCCAGGGACAGCTTCCATGATCCAGCATGAACACAAAAGACACTTAACACCACTCTATTCACTTCTTTAAATTTCATCAAGATATTTGGTGTGCAAGTAAAGATAGCAAAACACTAAAGATATCTACAGGGGCGGAGCAGTAGTACAGCGCATAAGACATTTTCCTTGCCTGCGGCTGACCTGGGTTCAATCCCCAGCACCCAACATGGTCCTGCGAGTCCACCAGGTTTGATTCCTGAGCTAAGAGCCAGGAGTAAGGGCTGAGCACCAAAAGGTGTACCACTCTCCAAAAAAGAACTCTTTTAATAAGAGTAAAATGTTTTTAAGACCACCTCCCTTTTATTGAAAAAAATTTAAACGGGGGCATATATTTTATATATTAAGTAAAAATATATCATTAATCAATCACTTGAAAAATATTCATACAAGGTTCAATATTAGATGCAAGATTCAAGGGCTGACATAAGGCCATTTCTCTTTTCTTTTTAAGTTTTATTGAATCACTGTGAGATAGTTACAAGCTTTCATGTTTGGGTTATAATCACACAATGATCAAACACCCATCCCTCCACCAATGCACATTCCTTACCACCAATCTCCCTGGTATACCCCCCCTTCCCATCCTCCCCCTGCCTCCATGGCAGACAATATTCCCCATATTCTCTACTTTTAGGCATTATGGTTTGCAATGCAGATACTGAGAGGTTATCATGTTTGGTCCATTATGTACTCTCAGCACACCTCTCCATTCCCGACTGGTTCCTCAAGCCATCATTTTCTTAGTGATCGCTTCTCTATTCAGGCTGCCTTCACCCCTTTGCTCATAAGGCAGGAAGATTGCTCCATAGCTGGAAGCCTGCCTCATTTCTCTCTTCTTTCTTCTTCCTTCCTCTCCCTTCCACTCTGCCACACTTGGTCTACTCATGAACTTGTTACAGGGAGGGAAGAGGTTGAGCCTAGAACACTAGTTGTTTCTTTTTTAAGTTTTTGGGTAACACTCAGCAGTACTCAGAGCTTACTCACGTTTTGTGCTCAGAGGACCGTATGTGGTGCTGGTCAAGCACCTTGATCCCCGGACTGTCTCTTTGTACCCTGCTCTGGCCCTCTAGAGTCCTCTTCCTGGTTCAATGCTATTTCTTACCTAAAATTATTTAAATTGTAATGAGGTACCACCAGAGAAGCGCAAATCAAAATCACAACAAGATTCCTCTTCAAACTCACCAAGATGGTTAGATCATCTAGAGGCGAGTTAGGAGATATGAAAATGTGGAATCATCATACACAACTGTCAAATGGTCTAGCTATCTGTAGTTGTTTAAAATCCCAGATTAGTCAGGAACCAGAAATCCCACTGCTAGGTATGTACCTAAGAACACTGAAAACACAGGTCTGTACAAAACCATGTGTACAGTGTTTATAACAGCATGACCCACAAGTAGCCAAAATGTAGAAAGCATCCAAATGCCCATCAGTGGATGAATGGAAAAACAATGGCATCTCAACAGAGTATCATTCAGCTGGAAAGAATGTATTAAACTGATACATGCCACCAGGAATGATGAAAATATTATGCTACTGAAAAGTCAGTCACAGAGGACTTCATATTATTAAGAGTCCATCAATTTCTAAAAAAATTTCCCTAACAGGCAAATCTATAGAAACAAAAAGATTAAAAAGACTGCCCAGTTTCAGGGGAGATGGGTTGGGGGGGTGGGGATAAGTGGGGGAATAATGGTAAAATAGGGAGACTGCAAATATTTGAATCGGTAGGGATTTTCTTTACATGATGAAAATATTCTAAAATTACTTGAGATGATGATTTTACAAGTCTGGAAATACTAAAACATCTGATTGCAAACTTTTTAAAGACTGTTATCAGGAGGCCAGAGAGACAGAATAAAGGGTAGGGTACTTGTGTTGCATTTGGCACAATAGGGTTCTATTCCTGGCACCCTGAGCCCCACCTGGAATAATGCATGAAAGCAGGTAGGGGTAAGCCCTGGGCACTACTGATGTGGCTAAAATCAATGAATAAACAGTGTATTGGGGCCAGATAGATAATACACTGGGTAAGAGTTTGCCTTGCACATTGCAGAATCAGGCTTGATGGCTAGCACTGCACACAGTCTCCTGAGTCCCAACAGGAATGATTCCTGAGCACAAAGCAAAGAGTAAGCCCAGAGCACCCCAGGTGTGTTCTAAACCTCCTCATAAAAAAGAAGTCATTGTATGTGATAGGAATTCTATAATAAAACTTTTATTTAAACATTAAAGCGAAAAAAATATTAAATCATTCAATTATATAAAAATAATATCAAACAACTCATTCGATAATATAATATCAAATAATATGAAAGTAAT